ATACAGACAAGTCAATCCTAGTTCAAATTACAATAGCCGTATTTCACTCGTATGCTTCTTCATAGTGAAATTCAGCGTTTGTGCTTTTGGGGGGGAATTAGTCCTTTGCTCTTTGCATTTGCGGTATGTCAAGCACCGACGGTGTGCACATACATATTAAAGCAAATAATCTGCATCATGCTGATTACTCCTCGGTTGATTTGACAGTTATCAATTGCTTCTTAATTCATGATACAATATTTGTTAAAAAATAAAATTAAATAATTATCTCACAACATCATTCTGGCGTTTTTCTGAGAAATGGTGAGAAATCTTTGCGCAAATTTTAGTTTGCACAATAATTTGTACTATAACACCTTTTTATTTTCTGGTTGTTGTTGAACAGTTATTTTATGGATACAGTAGCAGAAGAATATCACTAAAACAAGTCTTAATTGACAAGATATTTTCAATGAAGTACCTTAGTTTTTGTTCCTTTACCTCACTTCCACTTTCTCTTTTCGAAAAGCACCAGCTACTGCTGTACTGCAGAGTAGCATATATGTAAATACATAACCAATCACTGGAGCGCTTTTTTCTTTACTTCTCTCCTGGTTTTGTTGGAGCTGTTCCTTTCGTTCAGATATTTTTAGGAGGAAGGTGTGGAAGAGGATGGAGTTGTTGAACTGTTTTGTACAATGATTGCTGTACTCCCTGCCCCATTTCTGGTCCCATTTAAGGTCTGCTTTCTGGAGTGGGGAGGGTTCCAGAGGTATTGGCCAAAATAAAAATTGTCACCGAGTCTTAGGCATGCTGTGTTCTGGACTTTGGGAAATTTAAATACTTGTTGGAGGTTTGCAAGGGGGCAAAGTAGGGATTGCAAATAACCAAAAGCAGTTCTTTGTTTGCAGGTTCAAATTCACACTGTATTTTATCATGTATTGCTTCTATCTAATTCTCGAGGTATTCTTGTTTTACAGTATAGCTTAGTCTTTTTTTTCTAGCACTTGCCTGTTTTTTTTATGGTCCTGGCAGACCTTCCCTCTTAGCTCCCCATTCGAGCACATGCTGTGTATAAGATAGCATTCTCATGGCCATCATGTGAGTAACAATGCTGCAACCTTACTAACCAAACTTGTAATTGGTTAGACCCATTTTGAATTATTTAAGAGGCTATACTGCAGCATCAAAATTCAGCTCCGATTTAATCTGCTTTCCACTGAATTTCTACTGCTAAACAGAAATGCCAAGTTTTGAAAATCACTGTAGGTTGAGGGAAGTCTGGAAAAACTTCGTTGCTGCTAACCAGCTTTGGTGTCTCTTTTCTATCATGCTATGAGCTCATTTGTTGTTTAAAATGTATTTTCATTTCTTCATACCTAATGTTATTTTGCAGGGAGTTATTTCTTTAGAAATACTAAATCATAGTTCAGAATATATGAAGTTCTTGACTAGTACTCCCATGCCTTATGGTCTGAACAGTATATAAACACTAGGTTTTAAATATTCTTTGGTAAGATAAAGTGAAACAAAAAGCAGCTGAGAATTCTCATATTTGTGGTTAAACCCTTTCCAAAACAGAATTGAAAGAAACTTTTTCTTTGTGACTCTTCTGCCAGAAGATATGGCTCATTACTTGGGAAGCCTGTTTCTTTGTTAAAATGGGTAGTATTAAAACAGACTTTGCCAGCACAGCTGTGTGCTGAAGGATGTTAGTATATTGTGAGATAGGTGGTTGAATTCAGTTCCATCCTGCCGAGTCCCTAAGAAAAACACTTACACCTTATAGGTGAACCAATGTTGTAATAATTCTTTAAAATAAATAGGTGCTTAAACATCTAGTCTGTGTGGAAGCTAAGTATTTTTTCTAAATTACTTTTGCTTGTTTCTTGTCATCTCTGAAATAATTTGCATTCTTCTCCCTTTCTTATATGATAACGTACAACTATACTGTGAGACGTTACGGCAAGTTGTATGTATCACAGATAATTTCAGTGATTACAAATACTATGATTGGCTGCACTTATTAGAAATTTTTCAGGATACATAATTTTAATTTGTGCTGGGACAGTATGTTTGTTTGGAAATCGCTCTTCTCCTGTTACGTTTTACAACAATGTTGGCACAGGAAAGATCCCACTGGGAATGTCGCAATGTTGGACATCGCATTGTTGCATAGTTTTAGCACTATTACTCTGCTTTAAATCTACTGCAGCTATACAACTTGGAGGAGGGTAGGGTTGCAGTTTGCTGTCATTTTCACTAAACCATTGATGAGAATTAAATTATGGAAGTAAAGAAGAAGAAACCCTGGGATAGACTAGTGTATTACGGGAGATGGCTTGTGCAAAATAAGTGTCCATTGCATAAATTCCCTTGAGAGTGTGTGTGCTGTGTCCCTGCAGGATATACACAGATACTTTATTGACTCTTTTCGTATCTACAGATTCTTAGGCAGGTTCTGATCAGTCCAATTCATTTACTGTTTCCACTTAGGCTGGAGTTCAGCGAGTGCTTTAAATCAGCAAAAGTAATCCCTGCCACCAGAACACAGGAGTCTGCTGCCTGTACCATCACTTTTCCCTGGTGCTGGCATAGGGTTTATGGGGCTGTGTGGTGAGGTGATCCGAAAAACTGTTGTGTTTATTTCTGATCAGAGTTTCCCACAAACTGACAATACAAAGGGCCTGGGATGAGCAACAGAGGTAAGAAAACTTTGGGTTTGGCAGTAGCAGGAAGCAGGATCCATCACTGTGGTCTTTCTTTGCATTTGATGCATTTATCTGATGTTTTATGTGGATTAGTGTATGGTAAGATTAGGATGTTTGTGGAAGCTGCCTTTAGCAATCTGTAAGTGCAGGTTTTTCTTCACTCTTAGAAGAAAAGAAAAAAGGCAGGGAAAAGGTTGTCTCTTTCACAAAAAATAGAAAAGGGGGGCAAAGGTCTTGAACTGTTTTCTGCATAAGGCAATTAAACAATTCTAGATGTGCAATGCAGACTTAATGCTGACAACTTCTATTACTTTGTAGTTTTAGCTCCCACTATTAGAGCTGGTCAAAAACGTTCATTTAAAAGTGTTGGTTTTTCAAAATCAAATTTGGACAAGTTTAGGCTGAGGTCATGTTTGAGGCTGACACAAGCTGGAAAGAAGCACTTAGTGTGATATTATTATTATTACTATTATTATTTAATACTTGTTGCTGAACAGACAAGGAGTTTCGTTATGTTCCCCGTTACCTTTTTGTATTGGTGGATTAGAAGTTTCCATGATTTTCTTGTTTTCTTATCTGTGTGCACCCTGCAACTTCTGCTGAACTTTATATCCATCATAGCCTCTGCTGTAGTTAGCTTCAGTCATACCTGTAGATTGGATAATGCAGTTCTTTCCCACTTGTGCATTAATGTACATCCGGAGGTTCTTCTCCACAAAGTTTTTCATAGTGATTCTTTCTACTGAGATTTTTGATTATTGGTTCTTTATCAGTAGTAGCTCATGGCTTGTTCTAAGCATTGAGGTAGACCTAGAGTCACTTGGAGTGACCTCTTTTCCTTGGGCAACCTAGAGCAGCATACATTGGAACAGTGGTAGACAGGATATCTCTCATGAGGGCTTTTTTACTCTGGAAAAGCTTCCCTTGAAAAAAAAAATAACATCAAGAGTCACAAGACCTATCTGCATTGGCAGCCTTTAAAAAGTAATCTGTATTGGATGGTTCCTTCATGGAATAAAGATATAGAACTTACTACGTCAGTTTATTGTGTATGTTTTGGGGTGGGAGCTTTATTCCTCTTATGCTGATGAGGAGAAATTGAAATTCAAAACAAATAAAGAAAACAGCAATTAAATTTTGATTTTTTTTAAATCATTCATGACACCGATTCAGGTTAGATGGGTTTTTACAATGAATGTCTGCCCTCCCTTAAAAATGTAAAGGTGAAGCGTTGGTTTATTAAACAGACATATCTGTCACATCACCTGACGCAAGATGCTCTTGATGTGAGCATAAGTCCTGTCGAATTAAGAGCTGGGTGTGTTAGGAAGTGGGAGCTGTTAGTGTGTGTTTGTGAGAACTGTCCTTTGGCATTTATAAGCAAGAGCTTTCCTTAGCCTTTAAAGAAAAAATAACCCTTTGCAACTGCATTATTTATCACAATGCAACTTTTACTTTTGAAGGAGAGTAATACTGTGGATATTTTATACATAGACTCGTAATTGGAACTGGCTAAGGAAGAATATTGATTCTTCAAGTATAAACATTTGGTAGTAGTTTTGGTTAAACTTTTGTCTCTTGCCAAGCAAGGAATGTATGATCACAAAGAAACAGTAAACCTTACTGCTAGCAGCAAGCAGAGCATTTCTTTTGCAGCTGGGAAGACCCTTTATTGAAAATCTTTCCATTGCCTGGTTGAGATTATAGGCTTGAACTGGTATCTGTCTGAAGGAGGGAATGCTTTGGCTAGAGTATAGAAGGCTTGTTTAAGGTGTGTGCCTCATGTTTCCCCTGTTGGAACTGTTACCTATAAATATGCGTGTATCTATATAAAGTATATATTTTAGACCAGAAGTTTGAAACTGAGATTTCCATCTAGCAGAGAGTACCTTAGCAAGGGGCTGGGAGAAGAGTACTTTCTGATTCTTTTCATTACAGCACTGCCCACCCAATCCCAACTCCATACTCTAAAGATGGTCCTGGAACAGAGATTTGAAGCTGGGCTTTCAGCATCTTAAACTAGCTTCCTCTAAGCGTAAGGCAGTTTGGGATGTGAAAGTGTGATTACGAAAGGAATGTTGCATCTGGTGCTCTCTTTCTCATTGTGGCTGTAAGATTTTAAAAGATGTTGATTTATTACAGGTGTGAAGTGAGAGTCACTTCACAATCTTGAAAATTTTGCAGGCAGGACAGTGAAACCGATTCCTGTCCAACTGTTCCCACTGTGTGACGGCGAATATACAGATAATACTTGTCCTCCTGAAGTTTTAAAATAGCTTTACTAAATGTTTCTTTTTTCCCTCCTTTCAGATTTGTCACGGAACAGACTGTCAGAGCTTCCAGCAGAAGCATGTCACTTTGTCTCCCTCGAGAGTCTTAATTTGTACCAGAACTGCATTCGATATATCCCAGAGGCTGTTTTGAACTTACAGTCTTTAACATTTCTAAATATCAGGTAACGATTGTCTTAGAAATTTTGCTTTAGTAGTCTAGGTTTATAAATTTTGATGCATCCATGAGTAACGCTAACATGGTGTGTAATCATCACATTGTTATATTGTTTGTCATTGAATCAAAGCAACCTGAACCAGTCTTACCCACTTAGGTGGATCAGGGAACATGAGGATTAAGCAGCAGCTTGTAGAAGTGGAGTATGATGAAGAAAGCTAATTCCAACTTAAAGGACTCACAAAATAGATTCCAGTAGTTTTCATGTGAAATACAGACATGCAGACTGAAAAGAAAGGATAGGGCTTTTGGATAGTCTATACAATTCAGCTCTCGGCAGCTAAATAAGGCTTATGCAATTTCCCTTTACCTTCACTGTACTGGTGGCTTTTAAAGATCTTTCTCAAGCATTAACGCTTCTCTGCCAGCATTAAAAGCTAATGGCTGCAACTTAGCCTGTTGATGAAATTCAATTGTGTACAGCGTCCTCCATTTGTAGAAGGTCTCTTAAGAGGTGTGGAAAGTTCCTCGTCACAAATTGGCAGTGATATCAATCAAGAAAAAATTCAGGCTATTTCCTACTGGTGTTATACTTTTGCCAATTTAGTATGCTTACGTTTCTTTATTTTCTTTTTTTATTGATGGTGAGAATTGTAGGAATAGGATATGAATCAGGTATGGGTTTCCTATTGCTATGATCTCTAGTAGGTGCAGCCCAATTATTATCCTTTTAAAAGCTGCTGTTGGTTCACCTACTGCTCAGAACTTTTTTTTTTTGCTTTAATGGTAGGGAAATCTGGGTTTCAAGCATGAAACAATACAGCAGCATATTTCAGTAAATGTCAGCACCGGATCAAAACCTTAGTTAAGATCATAATCATTTTCTTTCTAATCATCCAATCACTGCTCCTTGCTATGTTTTATTTTTAAAGAGAATCTTTCTCTTTTACAATTCCGTTCTCATTCTGCCTGATTCTCATCTGAGGTTACGATCCAGTCATATGACCTCATATTTACTTTAATAGTAGTTTATTATGAAATGTCCAAGACTGTATTTTGGAATAGTGAAATCCATCATACCAGGATTCTTGATCCACATGATTTACTGAATATTTAAAGTATATTTCTAATTGAGTAAGTAATGACTTTCTCTGGCATTTTGTATGTGCTGACCTGCAATATTACATATCAGAAAGGCTTTTGCACTCTGTTCAAACATACTCATTTGTGACAGAGGGTGGCCAGTTATCAGAAGCACCTGAAAGGGCACGAAAATACCATATTCCCCAGCACTGAGTTTGAAAGCATCTAATATTCAGAGTTCGTTCACACATAACTAGATAAAGCAAGTAATGAAGAAAGACTTCATGGAACTACTTTTGCAATAGTTATTTAAAACTGAGTTGATCATCTAAATGGAGTGTGTTTTTTGTATGTGTCGTTCATTGCATTAAGATGTGAGGTGATTTCTCGTTAGAGTTCTGATGATTTTGTTTCCTTTCTGTCCAAAAAGTCGAAACCAGCTTTCAACATTGCCAGTACACCTCTGTAGTCTACCACTAAAGGTTCTGATAGCGAGTAATAATAAGTTGGTTTCAATACCTGAAGAAATTGGACAGCTCAGACAGCTGACAGAACTTGTGAGTATACAGTTATTTTTTTACTATTACTGTTCAGTCTTTAATTTTTAATTGATGTGTTTAATAGGTCCGAAGGTGCTTCAGAAGAAATAACAATTTTTTTTAAACTGATCAAAATAATGCAGTGATTAGGATGCTATCTGGGCATGTGCAAGACTGACATCTGTTTCTCATTCTGCTGTGAACTTCATGATTTTAAGCCAGTCACTTGTATGCAATAGCAAGTTACTTAAATCTGCTCTTAGCCTAAGAAAATTTCTGTCTGCTACAGTATGTGCAACTATGTTTTGACTTTGTATAGAGGTGTTAGAAAAGAGTTTGAAATACTCTGAGATCTTAAAAAAAATTTATGTGGAGGAAGATGCCTTGCACTGGAAAGCAAATAATCCCTGTCAATTTAACTAAGAATCTTCCCTATTTTTGAAAGGAAGGCTGGATGGAATTAGAGCTGTTGGTGCATTTGTTTCTGGCAAAAAGCTTTTATATAGCAAGTTGCACTGTCTCAAATAATATGGAATAGCTTGAATGAGATAACTTGAAATAAACTTCGACATCTGAATGCTTAATCTTTTAAAGCTTTTATTTCCCCATATATTTAAAATGAGAATAATGCTTCATATCAGCAATGAGATTTAATGAATATAAGGATCTGAGGTGTTATGTAAATAGTCATCTTTTTCTTTCAGTCCCTAAATAAAACACTACCTATTGTAAGTAACGGAGGCTTACCAGTCAGTGGTGGTAATGTCTAAACTGCTAACTCATTCTTTACTTTTACTTTGTAGGATGTGAGCTGTAATGAAATACAGACAATACCTCCACAGATTGGCAATTTGGAATCCTTGCGGGACCTAAATGTCAGAAGAAATAATTTGGTGCGTTTACCTGAAGGTGAGATAAAGGCTGTCAGTTGTAACAGCAGAAGCTTCAAGCACTTCTTTATTTTCAATGCCTTTTTCTTCCCCTGAGAGCTAGAAGCAGTGTTCTTAATTATTTTGTAAAACACATATTTTTATACTCTTGCTTTTGAATCTGCTGAGTTATGTTTATTTTCTATCTCCAGAGCTTGCTGAGTTGCCTTTGATTCGATTAGATTTCTCCTGCAATAAAATAACAACAATACCAGTTTGTTATAGGAACCTCAGACATCTGCAGACCATCATGTTAGAGAACAACCCTCTCCAGTCACCCCCTGCACAGGTAAACTGCAGCTAGGAATTCAGATGACTAGCTCAACTAAAAAGGGCAGAACAAAGTTAAAAGCTGAAGGATTGTATTACAAACTTTATTTAAGAACAGGAGGACTTTAAATAGTGTTGTCTAAAAGTAAATGTACAGCACAGCTTGAAAAATCCCTCTTTCTTCTCTTACTTTACTGTATTAGTAGTCTCACCTATGGGATATTACTAAGAATTCCACTGTTAGCATTGTAGCTGAGTGTTAGCTGAACATTTCTGCTTTCAGTATAGGAGAGAGGAAGCTCTGTTAGGCAAGACTGATTTTGCACCACTCAAATGTTAGAATTTTGACTGAGGCCTCAGTGCTGCTGTTTTATAGAATCATAGAATCATTAAGGTTGGAAAAGACCTCTAAGATCATCAAGTCCAACCGTCAACCCAACACTACCATGCCCACTAAACCATGTCCCTAAGCGCCTCATCTACTCGTCTTTTAAATATCTCCAGGGATGGTGACTCAACCACTTCCCTGGGCAGCCTGTTCCAAGGCCTGACCACTCTTTCAGTGAAAAAGTTTTTCCTAATGTCCAGTCTAAACCTCCCCTGGTGCAACTTGAGGCCATTTCCTCTCGTCCTATTGCTAGTTACTTGGCAGAAGAGACCAACCCCCACCTCGCTACAACCTCCTTTCAGGTAGTTGTAGAGCGCGATGAGGTCTCCCCTCAGCCTCCTCTTCTCCAGGCTAAACAGCCCCAGTTCCCTCAGCCGCTTCTCATAAGAGAAGGTGTGCAGGAGAGTGCTGCTTTGCAGCAGAGTGCTCAAAGTGGCCTTTGAGCTAGAAACTGCATTATGGTTAGTGACTAATTTGATTTTTAACGTGGATATATAAGCCCTTGAGTATTACAGGTTCTACTGTGAGCTGCTGCTTCTGAGTCAACAGTGGCACTTGCTAAGACCTGTAGTTTCAGTAGGGTTTTGCCTCCCTTTTGAAAGCAAAGACAGCTGTTACTGGCTTCATTCACTTTAAATTTGAGCTTTCTTTGGCAGTCTGCCACTGCCATTCAAAGCTGGGCATGGGTGGGATGCATCTGTTCCGATGCCAAGGGTATAAATTCTGGTACTTGTAAATGCCTATGTCTTGTTTACATGATGAAATTTCAGCATCCAGCTGACGAAGTTGCATGCAGACCAGATGTATTTGGAGGACAACTTCCATTTGTCTATCACGGGCATCCCATGATGCTCCACTATAGCTGTTTCTCAAAAATGCAGTGAGATTAGAAGAAAAGATGCATTGCTTGACATAAATACGCTCATTTATTACTCTCAGCTACAGGTTAAATATCTGTAGAGTCCTTTGAAAATGTATTATCAAATTATACTTACGTAATTTTTAATTTTTTTTTTTTTAAGATATGTATAAAAGGGAAAATTCACATATTTAAATACCTGAACATAGAAGCATGCAAGATAGCTCCAGACTTGCCTGATTATGATAGGAGACCCATGGGATTTGGATCTTGGTAAGTTTTGCACAATCCAGGTTCCTAGTTTTGATGATATTCAGGAAAATTTTGTCGGTCATCTGAGTTTTTTAAAAAAAAAAAAAAATAGATCCAAGGATTGTTCTTTGGTAAGTGCATTAATGGAGGTGGCTTTGAAGAATATCATTTGTGTTATCTCATGGTGCATTCTAACAAGGTACCACTATATAAGAAGTGAGGAGCAGCTCAGAAGAATACCTGGGCAATATCATATGAAAGGCAGTGCTAGAGTTGATATACCGTAAGAAGAGAGTGTTGGTATCTTCACAGTACAGGGGGCATGCTCTCATGTTATTAACATGTGCATTCAGTTTATAAGATCTTAATGTTTTCCACATACTTACTGAAGTATATCCCTGCTGTGATTTTTAACCTTTTGTACAGAATTTTATAACTGCTGTGCTCAAACTGCAGGTGTAAATGCTGATCTCCACCCCATTAGTAAACTCTTATTTTTGGCAAGCTTTCACTTGGCACTATTGCTTAGCATTGTAACACAAATATTGGAACAGTCAGCCATATCAGCTGCTAAATTAAGATGTCTAGAGACAAGTGTGAGTTAAGATTTATTTCTGTTACGTGATATAGAAGAAAGGGAGTCAGTGAAGTATGAAACTAAATATATACAAAAATTACCTCAGTCGTCTTGGAAGGTGGTAATAAGGTGTGGAGGAATAAGTTGCTAAATGATTTACCGCTGTCTCGGCAGCAATAAAACACAAATCGGAGGCCCTCACGATAAATCATCATGAGTCAGATTTGTGAAGAAGAATTTGCATGAGGGACTGACAGAGTGATTCCTCATCAGCACTGAATGTCTTAAATTATTTTTCTAGATGAGGTCAACATATGAGCATTTTATGAGTGTTACTCAGTTTCCTAGAGTATAAGCTGTTGCAGAAGGTTTCTGCATAATACTGGGGATGCTGTCCTGTTACTGAAAAGAAAAGGCTCTAATTGATAAACTGCCATGATCTGTTTCTCTCTAGCATAGTTTGTTTGTTTTTTAAGATAAATTCCAACAAGATCAGTGGGCTATGTGTTTACTGATTTATTGTTGTCGGTGGTTGTATATTACTATGGAAGTTTTCATTAATTGCTTTTGTGAAATGAGAAGAATTAATGTATTTTAATCATAGCTTGGAATTATGAATGTAAAAACAAGTGCAGAACTGGTTGAGGATGCTTTCTCTAGAGTTGCTTCCAGATGAAATGAGCTTCAGCTGGCTTTCCTTTAGCTGTATTTCCATCCCCAAGAGGAGAAGAGTTGGTCATAGAATTACTTGTTTTTACCATGCTGTTTAGGGCATTTAGTGTGGCAGTTGATTCCTCCTCTCTTCATGTACCTATGGAAGAACTGTCCATGGATCAGAGTACACGTTAGGAGAAAATGGTAGAATAATCCAGTGGAAGAGAGGATCCCAAATTATTATATTCTTGTGGAACTTGGGATGAGAGAAATAAAAGCATTAAACTACAATATAGTTAGTATTTCCAGGCAAGTCACAAGAGCTTTATGTTTGTTATCTTCAAAGGTGACCGATAGAAATAAGGTATCAGTCAGTACACTTAGACTTCGTTGCTGTTTTATCTGATAAGCTAAGTGAAATACCGTGGAGGTTAAGAATCTGAAGCTGAGTGGTAGAGACTCTTAAAGTTCAAAAAAGTTTGATTCGTGCAGTCAGTTCACTTTTGATCAAACATTTTTTTTAATAACAAAGTTGTTAATACTGCTAATAAAACAAGATATTCTGAAACATTATGGCAGAAAGTGTGGTTTGGAGGTTCTAGTGCAGCTAATTATTTGTTTTAGCCTTGTCACATTATATCAGACTGGCTTACCAAAGTGATATCTTGTATGTTACAGTCCTTTTCTAAGCATAAGCTATGTGAAATTTATCTTGCAGCAAGTTTTGATCTGCTGCAGCCAGTCTCTCGTTTGCAACGCTGAAGTTAAGAGCAGCTCAGGTTGGTGCCGGAGTGAATGTGATTGAGAGGAGGCAGAACTGTCGAAGCCATGTAGCAATTCCTTTGGCACTGAGGCAGACTGGTATAGCGTGGAGTTAGAAGGTTTAAAATATGAAGTACTCATACATAAACCAGTGTAGTGGATATTCTGGGATTTGGGCAATTGCTCGCTCTTACAGAAGTTAAAAATACATGTTTCATTGTGGCTTTGGAGCTGTGCTTTAGTCTTTGAAATGTTGGCAAGTCTTTCCTTTGGCTGTTGGTCTTACCAGGCGTTTAGCTTCTCTTCCTTTGATTTCGAGCTGTATGTAGCTTCCCGGGTAAGTTGTAGTTGCCCCAAGATGCCTTGATCTATCTAAATGCTTAATTGTTGTTCCTTGTAGCTTGTTGGTCAGGGAGGAATAAAAATCTTAAGTCTCAACTGATTTCAGGATGGCTGCTCCATGATTATAATCATGTAAAGCATGTAGCATTTAATAGTTGTTTTAGATGTGAGAGTTGGGGAGATAGAAAAAGGCTTTCATGTTAAAAAGGAGAGAAGAGTCCTGGGAACAGTGATTATGAATTTTTGAGCTTCCAGATTACCGTAGTGTTAGATGTATAGCTTTTCAAAAGCTGTAATTGAAAAGAAAGGCTAAAAGAAGAAAATTTGTATCAAAATACTTCTCTATTTTAGAGATGTAGCCAAATAGTAATTTTGATGCTCTTCAATTCGGAATAATTGTTCAACTTAGAACAGGGTTCTCCAGAGATTCTGAAAATATTGGTGCATTTAAAATGGAATTATACTGCAGATGGATTTGTCTTTTCTCTGATCCTGTTTTAAATCCAGTATTTAAGTACTGTGAACTGTTAGCATAAGTATGGTTCTTTTGTCAGTGATTCAAGTTAATAATTCTTTAACTGCACTGGGTGATTTCATGGTCTTTCTTTTTTCTTCCCCACACAAAAGAAGGGAGTTGTTTTTCCTTTCCCCTCACTTCTTGCTAGGGGTTTATTATGCAGATGATTTTTCTGTTCAAATACAGGGGCCATAAAGATGGAACTCTTTTGAGTTAATCAAAACTCCATGCAGGCACAAGAGCTTGTCTTTTGGTGTACATTTGCAGAATCTACATCTGCATAGAAGCAACTTTTCTTATCTGTAGCCCTCCATCCCTCCTCTTAGTTTTTTGCCATTTTATGTCTATCTGAAAATTAAAATAGCCCAGGGTAATAGTCTGCCACTGTTTTACAAAGTCCCATGCACGCACACAGTGCTGCATAAATAATCATCATAATCAAATAGTAATTTGAAAATAAGTATTTCCCAAAAGAGGGGTTTTAGAGGGAGCAGCAACTTGAGAGCAATACCAGTGAGAAAATGACCTGCAATTTAGTTATGATGGGGTGAAGCAATTAGCTTCCTGAAATTCGTTCTTCCTTGTGTATTATGTAGTAATTACTGCTGCAGTTCTCCCTGGGGCATCGAGTGCCAGTAGGACAGTTGAGTCATTGTGAAATGCCATCTGCAGTGGATCAGACAAGTCCCATTGTCTCTTTTGCTGTAGCTATCTGCAGTGGTTGCCAGACTGGACATCTGTGATGGCTGTACTGCTGAATTACATAGTTTCTGAGCCCAGAAATTTAGAGAGGAACTGTATGGCTGTTTGGTTATGTGCATTGTAACACTGGGCACATGTCTAATGCCTTTGTCTAGACATGTCATTGACAAAGTTAGGCTTTGTAGATGAAAACTGTACTTCTATATTTATTATATTATGAAGTATTTGAAATACTGTCCAGCTTACTGCACAGTTTCTTAGGTAGGTAATTATGATACAGAAGATAGTTATATAATACATTCTGCGTACTTTTGTGTAGAAGTATATTGTGATATACCTGTATTTTCGGTAATTTTACATGGGTTTATGTTTACATATGAAAAATTCTGTGGGACAGTGTTTTTCAACCAAAACATAGTAACTAGCAGAAAACGAAAGTTTGACTTGTTAAACAGTGAAACAAGAGACCACTTTGCAGCTTTCTTTGTCATAATTTCTGCATGGGAACTGTTTGAAGTACGGATATATACTTTGGATCAGATTAGTTCTTAAAATGCTAGGCAGTGGCAGGTGGACAGCTGACTGACGAATATGTTTGTAGTGTAAGCACATGCCTCTTGCCCTATGTGGCAAATACAATATGATGCTTTCTAATATGCTGAGCTTGTGAACACACTGCAACTGTGCTTGGTAGCTTATTCTGCTTTTGTTCTGTAATAGATGAGAAGCTTTTGGTGGTGTTTATATTACAGTAACTAAAACTATGTGTTTGACAGCCATGAGGAGCTCTATTCCAGCCGGCCGTATGGAGCACTTGATTCTGGCTTCAATAGTGTGGACAGTGGAGACAAAAGATGGTCAGGAAATGAAGTAAGTGTTGCAGCTTTATTTTTGTTGAGTGCAGTATTGTACAGGAAAGAGAAGTAGTAAGTATACATCTGGAAGCATATTCAGTAGGCAACATGTATATGCTAGTGTGCAGGTTGCCTTGAGCCAAAATTATTTGTTGTTTTATTGGAGAAAAACAAACATAATTTTATATGGGATGGACACAAAGTTGGAAATAATGAAGAGAAATGTATAAAACAGTGCATGACAGATGAATTTACTGGAGCATAAAAGATGAGAAAAAGGGGGTTCCTCATTGTAAAAGCAGCTTATAACTGTATCATATTACAATGTTGAGTCAACTACAATTACTCGTGAGTAGTTGTTTCAATAAAATAAATATGAACATGAAAATTAAGCTTCAAAAATGAGATGGAAATTTCATCTTCTTTTTTTGCAGCTTGTTTCAAATGCTAAAATTAAAATCTGTTTGCCATTTAGAAGCAGGAAAATGGGATCTCTTAGCAAGGAGACTGTCAATTATTCTTCCAAGGAAGAAGCTCCCTTTTCCTCTTGGGACAACTAGAAAAGGCAGTAGCTAAGACGTAAAGTGTTTCAGTGAGCTATACTCCGTATGCCTGCTTGCACTCCTAGCTTGGTTTTTGAGAGGGTTCTAGGAGTTTCCATCCTGGGATGTTTTCAAGCACGCGCAGATATTGCAAACAAAACTGTAGGCAAGCTTTTTTTCAAGAACGCTTAAATAAATGTTTTTTTAAAACAAGATTCTATAGCTGTATTTTGCTTTAAGTTAGTGTTTTGTAGATGCAAAACAGGACAGTTGAAGTAAAAACATAAATCAAGAGGTAGTAGCTTACAAGACAATGTTTCCAAAGAAAAGTGTTTCTTGATTTCACTGTTTGTTTTCTAAAGCCAACAGATGAGTTCTCAGATCTGCCTTTACGTGTGGCAGAGATCACTAAAGAACAGAGACTGCGAAGAGAAAGTCAGTATCAAGAAAACCGAGGGAGCACAGTCGTAACTAATGGTGGAGGTAAATAGCGATCTTTGGCTAACAATATTTATTGTCATGATTATTAAAGTTCCAGAATATTTGCTCTAAACAGTGGGTTGTCTAAAGAGGAAAGAGAGGAAGGTCTAGATGGAATGACACAAAAACACAGTTGTGTGAACAGTGTAAAAACACTGTTGTATTAAGGGTGTTACAAGGCAAAATCAAATAGCATCAGAATTAGGATTATCTGGGAAACATTGTCAGCTTCTACATATGTGCTGTGTTAAAGTCTCCAAATGCTTCAAACAGTATTTTGGAATCTTGAATTTCGGTGCATGGAGTTTTGCTGCTTGAGCTCCTGGGGAAAATTTACAGCAGTAGTAAATTGTCAGTGCTTTTGTTGACTGCTGTCGGAACAGGATAAGTAATTTTGTCAGGGAATTTCATATTTCCAAGTAGCAAAAGTGTCTCGTTCGGTAGTCTCGGGTTTTAATGCAAGCATGCAAGCCATCTAGGAGGAACAGGTATTTTTGAGTGACATTGCTTTTTTGTACCTTCTCAATTTGTTGTCCTGCTGTCTTACAGTAGCACCCTCATATTTGTTCAAGAGGTGATAGGGCCTCCCATGTTTCTTGATCTCCACAGTCCTTCTCAATTTTAACTTCCAATAATCTGCTGCAACCTCTGGCTCACAGTTCAGTCCTCTTCTTGTTTATATGTCCCAGTTTTAGCGTTCTTCCAGATTTGTTTTTTTCAGTCATTCCCTCTTCTCCATTTTTTTTTTTTGCACTACCGATTATTAGATCTCATCCCCATATAATTTGATTAATTATTCTTCTTTCTTAGCTGCTCCTTGTTTTCTGTTTCCTCTAATGGCTCCAGTTCATATTCCCTATCTGAGTCTCGCTATTACCAGCTAGTTCTAATCTTCTGCACCCAACTCCCATTTTTTCTTCCTTCTTCCCTCTTCGTCCCCCCCTTCATCTTTTGCCATCTTCTTTTCTTGGTCTTATTCTTCTCTGCCACAATATTTTGTTTGCTTTGCCACCTTCTAGAAATATCTGAAACTTTTTGGTTGACTCACACTCTTTTACACATTAACGGACAAAAAATTCAGTTCAAACAGTTAAATTCTGGCAAAGTTCTAAGAATTAAAGACATGGTGTTATGGGAAGCTGTGGGCAGCCTTAATAACAGGTAGTGCTGCCAGCTCCACCTCTAAGACTAACTTTATTTTGTTCTTTGGGTTTTGTACACAAGGGATTTCGAAATACCTCACTAGTCTTTTAAGATGGAGCACAGTCAGTTCATGTATCTGAGAGGGGCACAAGCCATAGCATGTAGCTGTCAGTGATCCAGGAGATCCTTTCCAATTTTGTGTTCCTAATACAGTTACTAATGTCTTTCACCCTCTACTGTATTATTACTATTATTTAAGTTTAATAAGCAAGGCTGGAAAGAAGGGGGTTTTTGTTTTGGTTTGGTTTGTTGTTTTTATTTTTTAAGATTTGAAACTGAGATGGAGATTTAATGAAGCCAAAGTATATAGGAATGCTGTTTTGGATGGTTGTAGTAGCAGAGGAGGTGGCTTTGGCAGTAACAGTTGCTAGATTGTGTGGTGAGGCAAAGAGAAGTCTGTTTTAGACAAGCAGGAAAGGGGCGGGGGAGTAGAAAAAGAATGTCTGCAAGAGAGTCTGGAGCAAGTTTGGGGAGAGTTTTGAGGAAAAGAAAGCACTAGTGCTCAGAAAGGGAGCTTATGCTTTCCCCTGCATCCCCAGCACAGTATTTTTCACCAGGGTAGTTTGCTCCATGTCATGACTCTCAGAATCCTGGGCAGAATGTGTAAAAGCAGTGACAAGTGAAAAAATTGCCCTACATAATATCGCCCACACAAGGGAAAATCAATACTAGCCAAACTGTGCTGTTTCTTGCTCTCATTTCAGTGGTTCCTAATTACTTTCTTAATTCCTCTTTTTAAAATAAAACTGCACGTGCTTTTATATTGTTTTAGAGGGGTTTTGTTGCTTTCTGTACTGTCCTTCGTTATTTCCACATTTTTGTATTTATTCCATTTGCATCCAGATAACTTGGACATGCTGCCCTCTGTTTTGTTGTTGTAGTAGTAAGAATAGTAGAAGTATCTGTCATATCCATTCTAATTTTTCTGACAGAGATGAATTAGAACCAAGAGAAATTATTCAAAATGTACACAAATCATTGTACAGCCTTGGTGTTAGTTGATAGATAGTTTTCAGTATTGAAAAAAAATCACAGTATTTATTTTACTTTTTCAGGCACTGCAGAAGTATCTGCGGCCAGCAATTTAAAACTATGTGCTTAATACATGTTTCTCATTGCTTTTTAAAAACCATTACTTTTACCATTATTTCAAAATCTGATGTTTAACAAATGTTAGTGGGCCAGACAAAATTCAAGAGCTTTCAGGCTGAGCTTTCCCAGACGGAAGAAAAACAGTAGGGCCTTAGTTCCTGGCATTGCTTTTGTGTTGTTTTTTCCCTCTCCTGTTGGTTATCTAATTATGGGTGTTTTCTTTGTGTATGTATGTCAAGTGGAACATGATCTCGATCAGATCGACTATATTGATAGCTGTGCCACAGAAGAGGAGGAGGAAGAGGTGAGGCAACCCAAGTGCATGGACTCAGACAGCCTCAGCTCACAATTCATGGCATATATTGACCAGCGGCGAATCTCTAATGAGGTGGTGCTTTTACTTAAATTAGATAAATTCATATGCCCCAGGAAAGCCTTTGTGATGGTATTAATGCTTCTTGTCCTCAGAGGTTTTCTTTGTTTTTTTTTTTTAAAAAAAAAAAAAAGAATTTAAAAAAAACATTAAGTCTGATGTGGGGGAAGAGCACAGTGTTGTGCTTTGTGGAGGGTCAGAGCTGGAGTGTTAAGCTGTTCCTAAGTGCCCTTTGGGATATGTGGAATAAGTCTACGGCAGCCACGCTGTGTTCCTGTCATGAGTTCTTGCAAGCTTGTGCTTTAGGCATATGTGAAGTAAATGCTTTTTCCAAAGGAGTGCTCTTTTCAGAAAACACTGAAGTTGTTGCTTCCAACTGGTAATGGGTGATATCTAGAAAATTGTTAACCTTTACTTGGTAGTACTGAATATACACCAGCTTTTTCAAGGGAAAAATGTTGATTATGATCAGTGTAAAAAATTTAGTGCAGGAATTTTGCCAATTAATTTGGCTGTTCATGTTGATTATAAGTTATTTGCCAGGAAACTCACTGACTTGAGCATCCATTTTAAGTTTAGACTAACTTAAATATTCAGACTTTTCAGAAAGCCTACTATTTGCAGCAAATGATTTCTTTCTCTCTTACCGTTGAGCAAGGCTGGAACCCACAGGTAGAGACTTGGATATGTATGTAGTCACCTTTCTGAACAAAAGCCGTCATCTGTAGTTTCAGATAAACCTGACGTGAAACTGTCCTCAGTCAGTAAAAGTATACAGTTAAATGAATAATAAGTAAAATTATTGCTAGACAGGTTAGAAAGTTCTCCAGACAGCTTTTTACAAATGTCTAGAAACAGACGTGAGTAGCTCTGGACATTGCCCTGTTTTCTCCTCTCACAGAAAAAAGGAAAAAAAAAAAGGGGGGGCAAAATAGCCTCTCGGTTGTTTTTTTTCCCAAAAAGTCTAAACAGTATCTTTTTCTTTTTTGTATTTTTGTTCTCAAGTATCTTTCTGTTTGAGCTGATATGTAATACTTGCACTGCAATGCTGCATTTTAGAAATCTCAGTAACAGTAACTGCAGTGTAATTCCTGAGAGTCAGGATGTGTGCATCCACTTCACCGTAACATATGGATGAAGTTTGTTTTCACATATTTTTTGACAGCATTCACAATATACTATGCTAATAATAGCTGCTTTAATTGATTGCTTACTGTATCCAAATGATGTCCTGGTGCAGTCAAAGGCAATGATTCTAGTAAAATTACTGTCACTTTTCTTTAGCTCATGTCATTTCATTGCTTTCTAGCTGCACAAGGATTAGTGTGCAACTGGAGTTGCTTTGAAATTGGATGAATTGCCAAAACTGGAAGATGCCTTTGTTCCAGTTGTAGCAGCCGCTGCTGTGAACAGATGGAGAAAACTGTTCCTTGTTAAGTCATTTGGACGGTGCACTTTTGGAAAGTGTCCTCAGAAATCGAACCTATAGAAACAGATTTTCAGCCACATGTTTCCTTCTGTGTTCTATCAGTCTTAATTAATACCACAGCTACACAGTTCAGTGGCTCACTGTACATACTACATGAATAACCTGTCTGAGAAAATCTTCGTAGTTGATATGCTTAAATGGTACCTATTGTGCTGCAATTCAAATGTGTCCTTCCAAAGTTTTGTATGTTTTGAAGCAGAAATATACTTGCTTTTTGAAGAAAGAAAAAAAAAATGTGGATCTTTAGTATACATGTAGGAGCCTGGTTCCTATTTTGTCCACTTTATATTACTGTTTACTGTGTTTAAAATCAGTGACACAGATATCTGAGAGGTGCATTCATTTTGCAAATCTCATAAATTCAATATCAAATCACAAAAGCTGATGGCACTTGAAGCATAGACACAAGAGCAAAACTCAAAAAAGGCAGCTATTGGCAATACAACCCAAGGATTCTTTGCTGTAAATAGTGAAAAGGCATTGATCAACATGAAAAAAGCTATTCATAGGGATCTATCTATTCATAAAAATTAAACTGCTTTTAACTGAAGCAGTAGTTTGTCTAAAAAGACAATCCAAAATACTCTACTACTTAGGAAGGCTAACTGTGTGCAATATAGCAACATACATACAGGCATGAGTGAAAATTGACAAGTTAATCTTGAAGAGTTTTCATCTTCCTACATTAATGGGTATCAGTAATAGTTTTAAAATAACACCAAGGACAATATGTCTCTGTTCCCAAAGGGATAAATTATTTCATAGCTCAAATTAAGCCTAAGATGTTCTCATTCATCCCATGTTTTGTTTTCTTAGTCCCTCTGTGACCTGTCTTTAGGGCATCTTAAGAGAGCATCACCTGTTGTATCCTGTATTTCTGAGAGTTCAGACTGCATTGCTGTACACTTGTATATACTTTCTTCAGAGCTTAACTCTACATTTCTTCTATGTTACATTAATTATTTTTTACCTACCTTTACTCCTCTGCATGTTTCTTAATAGTGGAGGTTTTTAAAGTCTTAAATTTACCAGTAGCGACATTTAATCTTGAAACTAAAGTTTCTTTAAATCGCAGGAAAAAATAAAAGTGAGCTTGCCTAGTTGGAAATTTAACATCCCTGAGTTGTGTTTTGTGGTTCTGTGTCAGGTATTTTGAATACCAGTAGTTACAAATGTTGCTCTACAAAGAGATTCTTTGACATTAATGTACAGTATTCTGAACAAGTTGCTAACACTCTTCTGTGTTATTTTGCTTAGAGCTCACCAGTAAAGCCTGTATCCGTCAGAGAATTTCAAAGAACAGAGGATACAAGACGATATTTACATCAAAACAGGTAAGAATATGTGGAAACAGTAATTTTATCCAAAGTTTCATGATGAATGCAGAGTGCATATTTACTGAATATGTTTAGAAAATGACATTGTTTTCTGAGAAATGTGCATGACACTTGATTTATAAACTACTGTTCCATATTAGGAATTTGCATTCTAATAATGGTAGTGACCAAAAGGCTTGGCTTTAAATCAGTTGGTTAAAGAAATCTGGCACATTAAAGTGTGTACTTTTAAACGGATTTAGTATCAGGTTTTCATGATTTAATTTGTGCTTTGATAAATAGTTGACTTAAGCTATATTACACAGCAGACAGAAGGGATAAACGTACTGCAGGTTTAGGGCAAGCATAAAAAGAGTTACTATAGAGTATCTGATGTGCTATGAGGTCACATTCTTGGTGGACTCTTGGTACCTGTAGTACTGTGTGGGATTCATTTAAATTAAAATGGGCTTTTCTGTGCCATAATCGTGAGCTTACATCGGGGAAAAGAAAGGATAGAATGGGAGTCAATGCTGAAAACAGGTCGCTTAGTTGAAGGAAATAGACTTTTTGAATTATGCCCATACTCTTTAATGATTTCTTGGCTTATTGAAGGGAATGCTTATCCATAAAATATGGGTCAGAGTTGGACAGAATATAAATGAGGTGGTCAGGTTTGAGAAGAGACTTTTGGGTGTCTAGTTAAAAGAACAGAAGCTAAGCAAATTCATAGCTTCTTGCTAATGGAACTAAAATCAAAATTGGTAGAACCTTTACTATGCTATTGAAGCATTTCAGTATTCTGTGGAGTGAAAGTAAATGTGCAAGGACTTAGCAGAAAACCGGCTCAATTGTACTAGGAATGTTTAAAAAAACAAACAAACAAAAAAAAAAAAACAAAAAAAAAACTGCTAGCCATAAGTATGTCATTACTTTACACCGTCAGTAGAAATTAATTTTTAATGGCATTCTAAAATGATACTGAAACAGAAAATGAAATCAAGAATAGTGTGTAAATTTTTCCAGAGCTATGGCAACATTTTGATAGGCATTTTGAAATGTGCAGGAAATGTGTGGATACAGTAGCTGTAAAAGAGGGTAACTCCTTCAGTATATATGAACATCCTTTATCCTGTAGTGTCTACAGGTAAGGCATAAAATAATACAGCAGTCTGACGTGTTCTCCCCAAATAAAGTGAGTGCTCTCGGTTTGAAAGACTGATTTTGTGTTTGTTTACTTATTTTTTGTTTTTCTATTTAAACATTGTGGTCAACATGGAAATAGTTAGACTTTACAAACACTGGATTCCATGACATATCTGAAGGAAATAAGACAAGAGAAGGCTACTTAGCCAGGAGAGAGCTGCTGTTTACATAGAGAGATTTTAATGATAAAGGAAATTGTACTTCACCAGGGTATCCAATATTTTCAAAATTTAACGTGGATCTTCACGCGGAAGTAGCTAATCAACGATCTAAATTAATTGTAGCTTATTCATATTACGCTGCAGCAGAGTGAAATTCTTGATGAGGCACTAAAAACAGGTCATATTGTTGTTGCCTTCAAAACTGTGGAAAAACAGCCATATGACAATGAGTAATTTTTTATATTATGAGCTTGTATTAGTCAAATATTTCGTTTGTGGCAACCACAAGCTGTAAACTGCTTCCACAGTAATTCTGTGCAAATGCCTTGGCAGGCAGACTCTTTTTTTTTTTTTTTTTTTTTTTTCTTCCCTTCAGCGTGCTGGAGCCATTAAAACTCTTAGAATTGGATGTAATGCAGACTTCAGCTCAAGAGTACTTACATGAGTTGATTCAATTCAGTAAATACAGTTTGTGCCTCTGGACAGACTGTGGTGCATTCCTGATGCAACAAAGCTGTGTGTACTCTGGTCTGAATGCTGCTTCTCCGCACTCAGTTGAACCCAGTCCTGTCTGTTCAAAACAGCAGAGTCATGGATTTGTCATGTGCATCAGTGCTAATTTAAGTAACAGAGGAGACCTGTAGCATATGGGTCTTCCACATCCCTTAAGCGTCTCCGTGCAGAATAGGTAATAAGTCTACACACAGGCAGCATGACGGACATTTTTTGGAAATGCAGTGGAAAGTGTCTCTGTATTCCATAGTTGCCCCAGGAGTGAAGGTTGCAGAGTTTAGGCTGTCAAGAGTAAGCTACTCAGTTTCCATCAACTTTCTTTCTAGGAAGCAACATGGCAGGGAACATGCTGTAGGCTGTGGACCTTGGGAATTGTTTCAGTGCTAGCAGCTACCTTCTAGCAAAGAACTGACTGCAAAATTTCTCTTTTATTGTTGATATGATGGATAAGAGACAGATCAGTTATTTGTGACTTTGATGGCTTCTATCACTGACGGTTAGAAAGTAATCACTTGATTGGTGAAGTGAGCATATTTGTTCTGAAAATATCGGAGGATGCTAATGTTTAAAAATAATTCTGTTCTTTCCAGAGCAGAGTAAGAGCCACAATAACCAGAACATAGTCTTAAGAGAGAAATTCCATCTTTGTGTATTTTGAAATCATTGTTAAGCAAGTTACATTTATTTGATTATGAACTGCAGTGGTTGCGATCTGACTTGGTATCACAACGTGGTTTCTTTAGTCATCCTAAATTTCACCTTTCTGGTTATCTGAAGCTAATTGTCTAGGCAATTTCTCATACAAAACCAGCTGTAATCTAGAGGAGAATTCATCTGACAGTAGTTTATATGCATCAGTGGCCAATCCCCCTTCCACCTGGTGTTTACCTGTAGGGATACTGATGAATTACAAAGACTTGAAACTCTAAATTTAATGCAGGACAGAGAGCATCACCCAGTACTAAGGAGTTATGTGGACAGGACAAAGAGGTAGGGAAAAGAAACATACAGTTTCTCCAGATAGATTTTTCTTTCCCTTCCCTAAAAAACCATAGTAGCCAGTTGCTCTTCTAAATGAGGATCATCTGAAAAGTTCCTGGATTGGTTACTTAACCAGCTCTTAAAGAATGGGTATAAAGTACTGGGTATCTCAATATAGTAGGCCAAATATACAATCCCATTGGTACATCTTGAGCTGTAGAAAAATTTTATCACAATTCAGGAGAAGAGATAGAAATGACTGCACAAAGTCTCTCATGCACAATGAGTTAAATCGTTATCACAGCAGTTGGTTTAACAGCTTTGCTTACTAAACAGTTACTCTTCTGATTTGATGAGATACTTGTGTGTTGCTGACAACTCATGTATGAAATTTTGTTCATATTTAAGATAAAAAGTATACTTACTCTGTTTTTCCATTTGTCAGACCCCTGGCTGATTCACCTTACTTTCTCTCTCTATCAAGTCACCACAGTCAGGTAAGATATTGAACTCTACTATTTTATTCTTTTGGATGAGTTTGATGGAAAACCAAACTTACATTAGCCATAAGACATGGACTGTTTCTCCATAACCCATCTGGTTTACCCTGTGTAGCTCTGTCTTTACAGCCTGGTGCACTGTTTTGTTCCAGGTGCCTAATACAGATCCTGAACTACACCGCAGGCACATAGAGCGTACCCGTCGGGAGGCCCAGCTAGCAGCGCTTCAGTACGAGGAGGAGCGGATGAGAACAAAACAGATCCAGAGAGAAGCTGTCCTTGACTTTGTTAAGGTACCTCTTTTTAGTAGCTACTTGATACTTTATCTTTTCTGAATCCCTTAATGAAAATTAATTGCCAAGATCATTAATACTTGTACGTTGCACTCTTGGGCATGCATGGCCCTGTATAAAGAAAATGGAGAAATAGCATTTAATACCATTTGGTGTTGGTGCTGTAGCTTAATGTAGAGAAATCTGGAAGTGGGGAGGAAGACAGAAGAGATTTACCCAGAATATGATTTTTGTAAAGAACAATTGTTGTGTTTTTATGTAGTCCGCCTCATTCTCTAAATTTTCTATTTGCATAGATGTGGCAGGATTGGTATAAGAAAGAAGGGTTCTTTATTTGAGAAGGCATAGAGGCAATTTAATTTTGAAGGCAAATTTGGCAGAGAAGAAATCAATCATATACACAAGAAGATAATGTTGCCTGATCTATTTTGGTATATTATGATGCATAAATAAGTTACTTCCAGGTAAAGCATGGGTGCAAATTTGTGGTGCATCAGATACTCCGCGGACACTGCGTCTTTGCTTTCTCTTTCACTGCAGTCAATATGAAGTAGTCTGCTGCTTAACATGCAAACTTTTTTATATGCTAGTTTCTTAAATTTATTTTACTGTTTACTGTTCTGGTGACCTAGCCGAATCTCACCATCACAAATTTAATAAATGTTACAGTTAATATTTTGGCTTTAGGGTGGTCTGCAGAGAGGAAAAGAATGTTACACTGCATTTACATAATGTATAAAGTTAGTTTAGAAAAAGGTTTTTAGCTGCCTGAAACTAGGCTTTTCATTGGCACCAACTAATCTCAGGCCCCTGGCAATGTTTTGTAGAAAAGCTGCTTTTATTAAAGATTCAGCTCAGTCTTTCAGTTAAAGACTTTAGATATTTAGGATGCATTTTTTTCACTGATGAGCCTTTTGGGGTTTTTGTTTTTCTTCTGTTGCCTTTGTTATTCATGAGCACTTTATTCTCAGCAATTAAATTCTTCCCTTGGGTTATATTTTGGGTTTATTATGCATCTTTAACATGCAAAAACAATTTGGGGGTTTTGTTTTTGAGGCTGGTTTTTTACTAGTAATATCAGTGAAGTTTCAGCTCAGTGGAAACTTGAAATTTCCCCAATGCACGTTTTATTTAAAAACTAAGACATCTTGTGTTTTAAAACACTTCTGAATTATGGTGTTTTGTTCTGAGCTTTTGTTTCTCTGTCACATTCTTTTAAATTGGCCTTTCATTTTTCCTTTTTCTCTACAGCAAAAAGCATCCTTAAGTCCTCAGAAGCAAAGTCCTCTGGATAGTGAGGTAAGAGTGCAATAAGAGTATTACTAGGGACGTCAGCACCTGCATTCTTAGCTCTCTCCATCAGAGATATTTTCCTGATTATGGAGAACTCTTCAGGACTGGGTTATAGCATAGTTTTTTCACATTTCTTATTAAGCTTTGGGTTGGGTTTTTTTTGCTTTTGGGACCAGCCTAATATTTCCTTCTATTCCTGTAGATTGCCTGTCCAAGTATGTTGTTTTGTTGTTTCTTGTGTGTTTTCTATGTTGTATACAGAAAATTCATTTCATACTCCATTTTAAGATGCTCCTTGCGAGCAGTACAGTTTACTTTCTAATGCGAGTATTCAGACAAGTTATTGTGTTGCAGTCATCCTTCATTGATCAGTTTTCTCCCAGTTTCCTGTCGTTAGATCACCAGTTATCCCAGAAAGATTAAGCATTAGAATTTTGCGGGCTATCAGAAAAAGAAATAAATGAATTTTTAAAAAGTTTTGTCCTAGTGTAGTTTTATAATCAAAACCAGTAAGTCAGTAGAGAACACAAATCATACAAGGCTCAGTCTTCTAGAATATACAGAGCTGAGCCAATGACATCTGTTCACTCTCTGCATCAGATTTCTGCATAGTAATAGCTCTTCCACTGCTTGCCATCCCCACTTTCCTCCAGGGGAAGATAAATCACTTGGCAGTGTTAATCAGATCAAAACTTTTAATAATATAATGAATATAAATAGTGCTTTAGCAGCATTTTCCAACTAACTCTTTTTTGTTAGAAAATTACCAAAACGTGGGGTGATTGAAATAGTTTTTGCTCCTCTTCCTTTTTAATGTTCTTCTGTTCTTAATTTATTCTTTTAAAGGGTCCTTTGTTCTACCACAGTAAGAACTGTGAGTACGTAGTTGTCTGTATTTGCTTGAGACAACCCAGGAAGCTGAATAATTGATTCCTTAAATAATACGAATACCCAGTAATTCATGGGTCATGTGGCTATATGTTCCTACAGAGTTGCATATACTTTATGGATTTTTAACAAAAGCCTCACAATGCTATAAACAAGCAGTACATGTTCCAAAATTTCTGTCTGTTCACATACCGTGTGTTTCTGACATTCTGTGTGTTTCTGACATTACTCCATCTCTCCCACCTCCCAGTGTCCCTTTCCATCCAGAAGGTCTCAGCATACTGATGATAGTGCCTTGTTAGTGGTAAGATCCTGCACGTAATGGCCTTTTTATGTGGCAGATTCTAGAGCATAGAAATAACAACGCTATGATTGTCTCAGATTAGACCAACTATTTTAGCGCTAATCTAAATAGCATAAAACATGAGCGTCTTTGAAAAGTGGCTTAGCTGTGAGCTTTAATAGCATGAATATGTTGATACTTGTACTGTCAGCCATTTGTTAATAATACAGTGATGTTTTTCCACAAAATAATTAAAGCTTATCTTTTGCTGAGAGCGGAAGAAAATTACTGATAGTAAAGAACAGCTTCTAAAATTCAAAATTCACCTCTAGTTGTTCTGATTTGATTCCTTCTCCGTTTAGCTTGCTTCCTAATTGATGTGCTTTTCAGTGTCAAGTAAGCAATTTTAATGCTTTGTGTACAGCCTTCTACTTTAACTTGTTTGCATCCTGCACATGGTGGTTAGAAATACTTAGTATCTTGGTAACCGTATCATAGCACAGGGAAAAACTGCTCTACATTTGAATGCTACAAATCATGAAATATTCCTCATACCTTTTTATTGTTTATCGATGAAGATGTCTTAAAAATAATCTATTTTGAACACTTAGCAAAAATAAAAATATTTATATACTTACTTCATGTTTTATGCTATTTCTTCCTTTAAGGCATCTTAGCGATGTAGCATAATTAAAGAATATAATTAATGCCATAATCCATGTCTATAAAAGAAAAATACACCTGATTTGCCTGCTGTTGCATGACTGCATGCCTGGGATTTATTTTCTTAATTCATGTGCTTCCATTATCTGCCTAAATTTTCTTTAGGCAGTGCTCTCAGAATATCTCTCTCCAGAACATGTTGGTCAAGATATTTACTGTCTCTTTATTCAGACTTTTTGGTTTTCCTGCTTTCACATGACTAGCATTGTGTGGGAGAAAAAGAAAGCTCATAATATTAGAGAGAAATTTAGTTGTGATCATGCATGTGCCTGTTTAGAGAAATCACAACCAATTAGCATATTAAAATGTGCTTTCATATTTAGATAATAAGAAAAGGAGAATAGCAGTGGTTTGGGTTGATATTCTGTTGTCAGTGAATTCATCTCTGGAATGTATTTTAAAGATACTTTTAAGGACCCCATTTCTATTTGATTGTGTGATCCCATGACTTTTGTTGTAAATTAATATATAGAATTTTACATTACATGACTTGAAATTTTCAGAAATTATTTTGAAACTGGCTTCCATCGCTGTTTGTTTCCTTTGTGTCTTTACCCAAGTTACATCCTTGCACTTCACAAAAAAGTGGACAGTCTGGAGGGAGAGACTGAACTAGATTTGAAAGCAATCATTTCTCTATTCATTTTTTTTTTTGATTCTGTGCTCTTTTCAGCAGCAAAATATAATAGTATATGAAATACTGGGTTTTCTGAACTGCTGAAGTATGATCTGCAGCTCTATTTTGTAGTGGAAATACACACTGTGTCTAATGATGACATATGCCAGGGCAGCTGTTTCTGGCAATTATTGTAACTGGAACATTAAGCCCAGGCTAGCTCATGAATTTGTAGCATTTTTGTTTCCACAAATGTATTTTGTATGGTAAAAACCTGTTCAACAGCAAGGAAATGTTCATGAGTTTGCTTTAAAAAAAAAAAAGTCTGTCATAAGAGTTGAAATTATTTTAACCTTTTTATATTCTATTGCATTTCATTTGACATTTTCTCTGTCCTTATGGATTTGAAATTTAGCTAGATCTAATTTCTGGGGATGGTTTTTTCCTCCACCAAAGTATAGAGACATTTCATGTCAAAATTCTATTCGCTAATGGCGGGTTTCAGTACACATTTTCCATTTACATAGTTTCCTCTTTGTCTTTTTCTCTCTCTGCATAAAGACTGCATGCATTAGTGTAAACTTTACCTTATAAAACTTCTGGGCATTGAAACTTGCAGATAGGTTAGTTTAAAAAAAATTTTAAAAATTTAAAAAAAAAAAAGTTCTGCTAGATTTTCCACTGTTGTCCTAGCTTTATGGTGTGGGAATAACACTTTGTGGCAGAATAGGAGAATATTACATAGAGGTATAGTAAAAGATCTTTTGTTCAGTATTTCCCTCGTTACATCAGAGCTCTCTAAACTGAGCAGTTGCTTTTCTTTTGCTCCAAACAAAGTTTTCAGCTCAGATGTAAGGAAAAGATTAAGAAAGTGATAAGTCTAATATGTAGTTAGAAAGCAAGTGAGCTTTCTTTTATTTTACTACTTCCCTCTTCTGGTACTGTTACTGCTTTAAGCAAAGATTTTCTTAAAACCAACATTTAAGTTGTGAATCTCCTTTTTTAAATCTTACATCATGTTTCTTTTGGTCTTCTCCTTGTTGTCTTTTATCATGAATTAAAATTAAAATGTATTCACATTGCACAGGTTACTCTGACTGTTTCCTTCTGTTTGCAAATAATTTCAGGACAGTCTGTGTGAACTCACAAAATGACTACCCATACTTTCTATGAATGTTAATAGTTCAGTTTAGTTGTACGTTTCTTCTGCATACCTGTGATTTGAAGTGGAGTTTGGCTGTAGTACTTCATTGCACGCTGTGGTTGATTTCTTTGCATTGACTTGTAATAGCCAGACTAAAATGTTGCTGAAGAAATGTAATCACTGGCCTCTCTGAGAAAATGTGCTGTATACCTCAAAGTTTTATATTAGTCATATCCTGCTTGCTATTCTCACAAGGGTAGTCCCATTCGTTACAATTGAGATTACTTGTTGAGATAGTATTAAGGCTTCAGACTTGGCTAATGATTTCAGCCTTGATCGCTTATGAATCTCATTTTTCCGCCAAGTATCTTCTTGTTTTCTCTCATACCGTCCCTTACAAGGTGAGTATTATGGAAGGAAAAAAAAAAAACAAAACGTTCTCTGACTGCTGCTCAACTTCTCTGTTGTGAAGCCTGTGAAGTACTTGATAAGCATCAGGCAGCTGGTGTGACCTCTTCCTTGCATAACCTTTGTGTTATTGCTGCCTTGTGCTCCCTTCATTGCGTTGCGTTTTGTTGTTGTGGTCTCCAACATAGCCTGAGGCCATCGTGTTACTGTTAGTACATGGGATCTCTGAAACATTTTAAGCTAAGGCTTTTAGGCACCAGTGTGTTACAAATAATAATGGTATGGGTAAAGTAAGCAGGACTTGAATTATGCTAACTTGTACCCTGGAGTTTTCTCTCAGACCATTGGCATCCATTTGTGTATTCAAATGTTTAATAATCAAGTTCCCTTAAAATATCCTTATTTGGTTCGTGCAGAGTTCTGGTTGGGCTCTGCTTTGGCAGTCCCTGTATCTACAGTTGTTTCTGGCGGAAGGAGATTTCTCTGACTTCAGTGCTAGACCTAGAGGCCGAGTGTGGCATGCACATAGGGTGTTGTAAGCCTGAATTGCAGCATCCTCGTTCCTTTTGTATTGTGGCTATCTTTTCTTACAGTTGTTCTTGCCTCACTTCTTCCTTTCTTCCCTCTCTTTCTTTCCTTGCTGTCCCTGACAGAATGGCTTTGAGCCTCTCTTTGTGTTTGAGATTGACAATAACACCAATACCATTAAAAGAAGGCCAGGGACTCGCAAAAAGGTGAAGAGCATGCAGTGTGTTGCTGTTGTGATTGTCCTACCCTGTGCTGTGCCATGTTCCCCTTCCCTTCGCCCACTGCTGGGTACGTGGATTGTAATAACTTCTTGTTGGTCTGCATCAAGGTTGTCTTGCTCTTTTCATACAGGAATAAACAGTTATGTTAATGTTACAGACCACCTACTTCTACTTTATTTTACTGTTCTCATATACTAGCTAATGTTTTGCTTAAGTCAAGTGATATTTTGAAACTCTTTAAAACAGGAAAAAAAAAAAGAAACCCATGATTTTTGCTCTGCACTGCTGTGGAGAAAGAGGCTCTCTCGAGGATCAGCTGTTAAGTCTGCATAGGGCCTAAAGATGTTTGTATTTAAGGCTTGCCCTGAGTATAACCTCTCCTTCTAGTCCTTCCTGGCTGTACTGTTCTGAAGTGGCAGAATAGTTGCAAATCGTTTTAAATACTAACACTCCCAAGTGTGTCGTTCACATCTGTAGAGTTTCTAGGTGTCATTTGGTGTTCTTTTCCTGTGCTGAACTGCCACTTTGCTATTTGAATGCTGTTTCAGAAAGTATAGTTTCATTTTTGAGCCATTCAGTCCTCAGATGTTAACGTTTTGATTGTGCTTTCAATAAGACACAGAATTTGGCCTTCTAGATTCACCTGTCAGTGACAGATTGGCATGCTGGAGCTCCTGTTCTGTAAACATGAAAAGTTGTTTATTTGGTTGGTTTTGATATTGGTTATAATTGAAATTTGGCTGCACTTTATTTGTGACAACACTGTAAATCTTCCCATTGACATCTTCCCCAAGAGCTAGATTCCACCCACGGAATCTTACTTACTTTGTGTGTAATTCACAAGGATCAGCATTGGGTGTTTGTGGCAGGCACAAAGCGTGTATTCTTGAGCCCGTTAGATGTGGGCTTCTCTGATTTTACAAAGTTGGTAGGAAAATAACTTGCTAAAAATGCGTAACATACTTGAAACATTAAAAAGAAAGCTATTTATTTTGAATAGTGGCTCAGAATTAACTCCTGTAGGGTAAAATTTCCTTTTGTCTGATGGCATAGCTGTTACATTAGGTGTTACTAAAGAAGCTTTTACCTCACTTATTGTTCTTAGTTCTGCTTTTGATGTCACTGTGTTGTGTGTAAAAGAAGCATCACACCTCCCAAGCTTATTAGCCGGAAAGTTCAGGAGGGTAGGAAAGCTTTAATTGTAGTTCAGCAAGTATGTATCTGTTGCCTGTTGAGTGTTTCCAAGAATGTGATTGTGATCACCTCTTCCTTTTTAACTTGTCTACTGCATTCCACCTTTGTGTGTGACCTATCAGCCGTTTGCTAACACTGCTGCTGCCTTCTCTTTCTTTCTGCATTCAGTCGCTCTCAGGGTTGAATCAAGAAAGCTGTGCTACTACCCTGCCTAATGCCTCTATCTTCAGTCCTGTCAAGGTATCTCTTGCTATTATCATTCACCAGTAAAGCCAACAAAAAACTCTTGGATCCACACATCTGTTTTAACAGGTGTTAGTCTGTCAGCTTCCAATCAAAAGTTCAGGTAGGGTATGAATCCGATTTACCTGATTAAACTGTAGTAGGTATTACCTCATCTTAGCTTTAGGCTGTGTCTACAGGAGGCCTAAGCTATAAAAACATGGTAACCAGTCTCTGCTCCGAGGGGTTCTTGATTGTCTTTGATGTTGCTTTTTCTGTACAAGATTATATACTCTTTACCAAGTTGAGTTCATTGAAAGTACTCGTGTTGTATTCTTTACCAGCTTGCTTTTGAATACAGATATCCTGTATTTCTTTCTCTTCTGTGGAAACTGCTGTACTGAATGCATTCATCACAAGAAATCATAAGTCTGGTTAAGCACTGTAATAAAACCACAGTGTGTTTCGCTGGGGAGAGTGATGTTCAGTAAATAGCAGTTTTGCATTAGCAAAGGTGTCAAAGAGGTGTATCCTTATCATTGCTGCTGTAATGCAAGTTCTGCGTGTTATTTAATTACCTGTTTTTCTGTGTGCCCTTTGCAAAGAATACTTTGAAAGTTTTGGTTGGAAGGAAGAGTAAACAAAGCTCTGTCATTGCACAGTCAGTGCTGTTTCATCATTCTTTTTCTTCAGAAAAAAGCAATTGTATCATTTCTGCAAAAGAAAAAACTTTGTCACTTTCTGCAGAGATGAGACTTGGGGAACAACATACTGTTTTTTCATATTTCTGGTTTTTTTCTGAAACACATTTAGATGGATGGAGCCTTTTTTTTAAAACACAGCAAATTAAAATGTAGTCACAGCTTTTCCAGATTAGGACCATTTATACTCTTCTGCTTTTTTGTCCACAGAGTGATGACAGATCTGCCGTCTCCCCCGGTTCACCTACCACTCAGACAGGTAACAGGGAAAGGAAGCAAAATTTCTGAAAAATAAGATCAAAATGCCTGCTTGCTTATTTGTACTATGAAGAGAAGGGAGCATATATTCCCATCTCTGTATGTGGCACTGCTGTGTTTGAGAATTTACCCAGTTATTTGGGTCCCCTTAGAAACACATGAGGGAAGAAACAACAGGGGTGAAGCATGTCCTCAGGCAGAGCATAGGGTTTGGCTGTTTTAGGCCTTCATACAAGCTTTGGCACACAGATGCATTCAGCAACAGTCAGAACAGTTGTTGGAATTGGTATGTGGAATGTGCTTTGCATGCAAGCGTCCTTGGAAGTGCCTTTTCCTGCTCTGCGCTTTTATCATGCATGGCTGTAATTTGTTTTGTCATTATCATATTAAAATTTTTGTTTTGTTCTTTTTAATTACCACATTGCTGAACCCATTTCCTAATTAAACTCTAACCATTTCCTTCTTCCTCCTTTCCTTTCCTGTGCCTTTCCACATTTGTTTAGTCCACCTTTCCCCTCCATATCCTGGCCATGCAGCCCCGCCTTCCTATAGAAACCCTTCCCAGCGACCTGAGAGTTTCCTTTTCCGAGCAGCTGTCAGGGATGAAGCAAGCAAAGGTAGGTTTTATAGCTTAGAAATTAATTAGTTTTGCTATGTTATATTAACATCTGCATTACCTAGGTTTTGCACTGTTCTGTTACTTCAGGCCATTATCATCAAACTACTTTTAGAGTTCCTTTGTAGACATATGGCATTAAATACTTGTGAATAAGCAATTTTTTATTTAGAACCATCAAATATTCTTTTGTCATTATTTGTGGAAATGTGGGATTTTGTTCCTCCTGGTCTGTGATTGCACCTAAAAAGATACCAAGGAAATGCCACAAAACCTTCAACCACTGATGAAGGCAGCTTCATAAATTTTGCATTGCACAGTAGCACATAACAAAATTGCAGTTGCTGTAGAAAGACTGAACTGTTTCAACATACTTCATCTGGCAAAACTTTGTCCTCCTTTTGTGAATGATTATTAGCCAACAGAAAGAACAGAACCTAAACAGAAAGGAAAAAGTGTTATCGAACATCTCATTTCGATTAGCAGATCATTAGCTTGATTAATAATCAAATGAAAGAAACAGATTTATGAAAAGGAATGCACGGTAACCATTCTAGAACCTTGTGTGTGCATGTGTAGTACAGCAGTGAAGGACAATCAGTCAAACTGTGCTGAGTGATTTTTTTTTTTCCTTCGTGCTACCTTTTTAGCTGTTATTTCATCTTCTACCCGTGCCTTGTCTCCTGCTAATGATTCTGCAGACCCTAGAGTAAGACAAAACTCCAAACAGCGAGAGGAGGAGCTGGAGCTAATAGAGCAGCTACGTAAGGTGAGTGCTGCCAGGAGCCAGTATGTGGACATGTTAGTAAATGCATTGCATGCATCCTGCAAAATCTGTCCTTTTGTTTTAGACCGATTTCACTGAACCAATATGGTGAACAGTTGACCAAAATTAAATGGCATTGTACAGTCCAAGTGTTTCTTTCAGATGGATGCAGTGGTGTTCACTCTTTTGTGGTGGATGAAGTCAGCTTCAAATTCTGTAAAATTGATTGTGCTGACTTCTGCCTCTGAATGTCCGGTGATGTCTGCTTTTAAAATAAACATGTGCTTGCTTTCTTCCTTATCAGCCTTCACACTTGTAAGGAACTCCCTGGAAAGTTGCCTTACTGTCTTCTTTTTAATCTTTTTTTTAAAACTCCTCTTTGCTGTAAAGCCCACAGGAAAGCAGATGGATTGCGGAGACTACTACTGCCAGTCATGGTGACAGCATGGTTTTCTTGTGTGCTCTGGATCCATCTGTTGATTCTTGCCTTATCCTTAGTTAAGTGCAGAACATCTGAGGTACAAATATTCTGTATGGTTGTGCTATTTGCCTGTTCAGGGCCACCACGCTCCTGCTTTGTGCCCAGGTACAATGACAATACACATGAATATTGAATATTGAAAATGTCATATGGCGTTAAGGTATTGCTCTGCTTTGCCCCAGACTTGTTTCTGCAGAGCATGAAGGGATTCCTTGAGGTGCTCTAATTAATTGTTTGAGCTTTCTCAAGAAGTAAGAATTCCTGCTTGTTAAAGCTGATTTTAAAAGCCATAAGCATCCCAGATGGAGAGAGTTCCTTATCTTTGTAAATTTTAAAGTAAGGACAATCTCCTTTCCCTAAAAGGAGAAAGTTACTTTAAACAAAACAAAACTTGGTGCTGTTTGCAGAGCCTTTCTTCTGCTATCTCCAAATGCTTTGTATGTAGTCTCTTTTGTTCTGCTTCCCAGCTAAGCTTAAATCTCTTTTTCAAGACTTAAAAAAATTAAGATACTGTGTAACAGCTTGGTGAAATTCACACAGCATTTGAAATAAGATTAAAAGCCTGAATTGAAATTTTTCATTCCCTTACACAAATGCTAACTACCTCATTTCTTTAAAATTATTTATGCCAAGTAGTTTGGGTTTTTCTTTACAGGGAAAAATGTTATCATGACTTTCAGTAACTGTTGTCCTCCAACCTACAAAGACAATTATTTTTACTTCCCTTGGCAGAACCATTCTCTGAGAACACACAGGATTAGGAATACTGTTCTTAGACCCCGATTTCCATCATTTTTTAATAATGGTTGCATTAGTCCCTTGTGCTGTACAACGAAGACTGTTCATCATTGAACTTAACTGCTCCCAGATTGTGGTCAGCTCTGGGCCATAGTAGTGCTCAGAGCCTTCCCTGGTGTTAGTCAGAAAGCTGTTTAGAAGTGTCACGAGAATGGACAGAGAGTTGTGGTGGAAGCACTTCTGCCTCTTATAAAATGTTCTGCAGAATGAAACAGTTGGAGGAAACCAGCTCTTACTTTTTGTGTGTCCGTGTTCATTTTTCTACAGAATATAGAATCACGGTTGAAAGTGTCGTTGCCCAGTGATCTTGGAGCAGCTCTCACCGATGGTGTTGTTCTGTGCCATTTAGCTAATCATGTGCGTCCCCGATCTGTTCCCAGCATTCATGTCCCCTCACCTGCTGTTGTAAGTATGTAATAATGATAATGTTTTATAGGTGTCCAAAATAACATCCAACAAAGTTCTGTAATACAGACAAATGCTAAATTCAGCATTCTCCTCTGTAAATGTACGTGACAAAAAATAACCATCTGTTCTGTCTAAAAAAGAGTCTATAGCTTCATTAGAAGAAATTATATTTGGGTTTGTTTCATTTAAATGAAGTTACTTCTAACACAGATTGTAAGAAAATGTTACCGTTTTCAAGTCCTCTCTATGTTAACTTGAAAACTAGTGAAATAAGACACAGTTCAGCATGAAAACTGAAATAGGATATTTCAAAAGATCCAAAGGTCCAAGAAGTTCAGGAAAACAGATAGTAGGAAAATACAACGTTCTCTACAACATTTAGGATCCCACTACACAAGATAGTGAAAACAGGCAGAGAAGCCAAGTTGATTCCTGTGTCCATTTCACAGCACTCCAAATTCCTCTGCTTAGGAATTTTAGCAGAGCATACTCGAGCTACTTGGAAAACAGCATTTCCTGGAAGAAAACAAATCCAGTCATATCTTTGTGATAACTGGGAAAAAGGTATTGTATCTGGGGACTGTTGGGAGCAAGGAAGGAAGCGCACAGAAAAGTTTGAAAATTTCTGAAGTTGTTTTTCTTACCCTGCCTAACTGCAGTGTTTCTGGAAAGCATTGAAGATGATATATTTCTGGGTCCGTTACTGTGTATCATGTAGGGAAAAAGAATTAGAGAAAGGTCAAGAACTTCTTGTGGAAGTCAGAAAGTTCAGTGAAAATATTTAGGGTCAGCTACTTAAAAGTAGTATGGAGAGGCAGATTGCTTGTTATGCACCTTTAAATTGTACGAACAAGGAAAAAAACCTGAAGATTGTTCCTGGGGAAGTTGTTGAAACATGCATGTTGTGTTTGCTTTTTCTTATTTTGGAGTCAGTCTTTGTGTTGGTGGGAATTTGAACTGGCACTTAACAGGGCTGCCTACCATATCATTGTGGTTCCTCTCCCTTGGACTTAATGTGAACAAGCAGATGTCCTCATTATTTTGAGAATGATTGAACAGGACACACCAACGTTTTAGGCAGATCGTGGAATCATTAAGAGAAAAGGCATACAGCCACTATTCAGAAGACTTGCATCATTGAGAATATCTGTTCAATGGCCTGGTTTTATGTGCTGTTGAATATTCTGTGTTAGGAATTAAATCATGACTTTGTCATATAAATCCCAAGGAAGAGGCAGCCTTTAGCTGCACAGCTCCAGGAGCAGAAGAGGCATCACGTCATTCCTCAGTCACAATGTCATCTTTGTGTTCCCTTCGTACTTCGGGAGAAAGAAGTCAGCACTAGCCTTTAACCTGCTTTCTTGGTGGGGAAGTACGGCACATTGAGGGGACAGAGCAGAACCCCCACCACTTATGGAAAAGTATTGAACCCACAGAGGCCGCTGCCTGCTGCTATGTAGACTGTGGGTAGCTTGTTCAAAGGAGCAGGAAGCTTGTGTCTCTTTAACCAGAAAAGAATAAGCTTCAGGAATAGAAACAAGACAGAGCCTGTGCCGTGGTATGTCTGTGTAGAAGTGTGAAAGCTAACTGTAGAAAAAAGTTTGCTTGAAAAAATGCCAGAGTGCAATTCAAACAGCTACATCAAACACATCTACTAGAGGCTGATAAGCAGCAAGCTTCAATTCCAGTTTTATTCCATTATTTTCTGGTTTTATCTAGCCTTCATTTTTTTTATCTCTTTGTTAATTGAAATATGGTTTGATATTTATGTATTTTTGTATTGTAGTAGTCCAGAACAGACTCCAGATTGCTTCATATCGTGAAATTGCTCTGAAATCACAGCATGGAAGCCATGCATGTGTGTTTCATTCAAAATATATTTTTAAAATTGTGATTTAAAAGTGACTGTAGTCACTAAAAGTGTTAGCCAGTTTTATATAACACCTTGTATATGAATATTGCACAGCTTAGAATTGGGTTTTTTTAAAAAAATCGAGCATTCATAAATTACCTTTTCATAAAGTAGCTTTGAAATTTGGGCTTGCTTTTCTAAAGAAAAGCAAACTACAACACAGCCTGCTTTGAATTAGGCAGGCTTATGTCAGTGCAGTGTGTTTTTGGCAAAGAGATTTATTAAGAGTTTTATTTAAATAAAAAAATAAAGATATTTTAAAATCCTGCCAATTAAGAACACTGTATGCCTCCTCCTTTACTTCTTTGCAGCCTAAACTTACAATGGCAAAATGCAGACGAAACGTGGAGAATTTCTTGGAAGCTTGCAGAAGGATTGGAGTGCCTCAGGTACGTATTTCTACTATCCTGATGTAATGTTTCAGGTGCAGTTTTGTATGATGCTTCAGAAAATAAAACCTTCTTTGAAAGATTTGATGAAAACAAAATGATTAAAGGTTTAGAAGGTTCAGGTATAAGCTATGTCTTGCAGTATAGATCAGACTTATCTTGCATTGTCTTCCACAGCAAAATGAAGTCAGATATAGTTTATCAGAGGTCTCATTCACTTACTGCTGTGCCTCAAATTCATAATAGCTGGTGCAGTTAAAGTCTGCAAGGTATTTCTATAAAAACAATTACATTTTCTCAAGGTTAGATATTTGACAGCTTAAAAGTGGGGTAAAATTTGGATGATGTTTTGCATGTGTTATTTTTATCCCAAAGCTTTTCATGTTCCTTCAGAATAATTCTCTTATGTGAACGTCTTTACTGTCTTACCAACAAGTCGCAGTATTATTGGCCTTTCTCTGACGGTAGCTATCTTTGCATAGATCCTAATTCTTTTGTTCTGTACCAGTGGTAGAAGTCCATCTTCTGGTATTCCTTGTCCTCTTCTGAAACTTGGAAGAGCTAGGAGGTGGGAACATATAAAATAGTCCATCTGAGTCCAGTTACCCTGGTTTATGCTGTCCTGTCCTTTCCACTTTGTCTTATTGAGCAGCTGTCTCAGTACAAATAGTTTTGATACGTCATGTTTTTCTTAATTTTTCTTCTAGAGCATTGATTTGGTTTCTTATACTGCTAAGCATCAGTGTTTCTGTTGTAGGTACTGTTTTCTTCCTTTTGTGTTGTGAAAGGGAAAGGTAGACCCAGAGACTCATTTCCCAGCTATTTCTAAAAGCAGTGTTCTCGAGTCAGTCATGCAGTATTTTCTGGTGTTTTTAGATAGCTTCACTTGCAGGCATTTGAGCCATTGGGATTTTAGGATAGCCTATTTATTGAGCTGCCTGGCAGTTTCACGTGACTGAGTGGTGAATCACATTGGAACGTGGTAGGGAGTTTTAAGTAATCCTTAGTACTTTGAGATCCTGCACTGTTTTGGTCCCCTACGTCCAGCAGAACTGCACAATATAAATTCGTCTGGGGCAAAATTGTTCAATCCCATCGCAGCTTCCCTGTTTATAGCTCCCTCAAATATGAAGATGTAGTTTTTATGGGATTGCAGTGCAGAGCACATCATTGAAATGACCCACATTTAAAAACAAACAAAAAAGCCACTTAAGAAAAAGTCCCCTATAAACCCAGTTTGCTACATCTGCTACACTTACTGTTTTTCTCATATTTCTTGCTTTAATGTGAAAGAGTTCAAGGAGAGGGTCTCTGGGGAAACTTACTGAAATACCCCCACCTGAACTCTAAAGTTGCTCTCACATGTCTACATTACATATCTACTGAGATGTGAACGTAAGATATCTGTATGCAAGAATGGAGTGGCAGCCTAGTGTATTTTTCTGGAAAAGATGCCTGCAGGTATTTCCTTTCATTTAAATTCTAATTACAAAAATAAAAGGCTTTCTGAAAGTATGGATCTATGTAGAAATACTTACCTTCTAAGAGGAAGGCTACTTTTAGAAAATGCTAATTAAAGGCAGTATAGTGGAGCAGCTATTTCTATAGGACTTTGCTAGTTAAAGCCCTTGCATCAAAAGAAACCCACAGTTGAACAGATTGATACATGCATCTAGGTTTCACTGATTTACAGCAGTTACCCGTGTGAAAGGGAGGGAAAAGATACACAGTGGGAATAGTTACAGAACACTTAAACTCTAATTTAATTAGTAATAGATATTTCTGCAGGATATTGCATTCAAGCATCAGTTACACATAAATAATCCCTTGTTCTACTGTTTTATTAACTAAGATACGTGTGGAGACTTAGCTTTGGTGTGTACTCAGTGCCAGTAGCATCTCAGAAACCTGTAGCCTCTTCATTTCCCCTGGAAAAAAATGTTTTTCACTAGGGCATGTGTAAACCGCTATATCTTTAACAACAAAGAATAGTTACATGTTTAAGCTCTACAGGTGACAGGCACCTCACTGAACACTAAATATTTGCATTAAGTGAGTTCTTTGCAATGGGAGCCTTTGCAGATTCCTTTGTGAGAATTAACCAGCTGTGATAACGCTTCTCGAACATGTAGGTTATATCTGAGATGTCTGATGACTGACTGCTTCGTGGATGTTACTATGGCTAACTGACTGACCTTTTTTTTCTGTCTGTTTTCCCTTCCTGCTCACACACTCTGGACAGGACAATCTTTGTTCCCCTTCTGACATTCTTCAGTTAAACCTCAGCGTTAAAAGAACAGTTGAGACTCTTCTTTCCCTGGGGACAGATTCAGAAGAATCCAGTCTTGTCTCCCTTTCCATTCAGCTCTGGGGCTTTGTGGTGTTTTACTGTACTCTAATGCTAACGCTCTGTATGTTCTATCGCTGGGTCTTTTTTCTCTAGCTGAAGGATAGTGTTGCTGCTTCCTCCCTGCGTCACTCCGGTGCTTGGGAAAGGATTTTGGTTTTTGTCAAGACTGGGTGTATGAAGTGTTTTCTTTCCCACTGATGGGACAGAGGTGACAAGTACAATGTGCGAACACATTGGTGCACCCACACGACCATCTGTGACATAATTCACATTTCTGTTTGCTGTGTCATATTTAGCAGATATAATGCTTCTATAAGGGAGGAAGTGCTGTCCATGGGCTAGAGCAAGGGACTGAGGTTAGGATGCATGCTATAGTGTGCTGACGAGTGATGTAGTACTGGAAAAACTGCATTGTCTGTTTGTACCTCAGTTTCCCCATCTCTATAATGGGAATTGCACCCACTTTGGTGAATTACTTCAGGATTATCTGATAAAAAAAATTAAAGAATGTGAAGTATTTTTTTCAACATCAGTGTTCTTGATTAGATCTCACAGTCTTAGGAGACATGGTCTGGTAAGTTTCATCCACAGGACTTTGTTACTGATACTTTTTTAATTACCCCCCATCCCTTATCCTGCTTCTGAGAGCATTTGATTTCTCATTTTTGTAGACTCTGTGTATTACTTTGAGTCAGGATTTTTAACGTAACTATCAGTGAATCCTGAGCTACTTGAGCTTCGTAACAGCAGGAAATTTTCAGAAAATTGAGCTCTTCAACAGCTTTGAGAGAAATGTTTTCTGGCATAGAAGGAAAAATCTTTAAGATTCTATCAGATGCCACAGAATGTCATAGCATTTTACTGTGCTCTGGATAAGACTTGACAAAAGCTTCTTGAGTTGCCACTTGATTGTGGACACCCCAGCCCGTGCTTGTTTCATGCTTATTCCCTTCGTCCTCTTATCCTGTCATTTTCAGAAACCTTTATATCATACAATTGCAGAAATGTAAGTCCCAGCTGCACGATCACTCTTCACTGTTTTACAAAACTCAGGTAGTCTTCCGTGAAGCTTCGAAGCTTTTCCCTCCCCAGGAAGAGCCTCCTGGTGCTTTAATGCTTTAATGTCTCAGGGACACCTCAGAACTTCAGGGCACTCCCATGTGATGTGTAAAAGACCATGTCTCCTCAGTGTAGATTGATTCAGGGAACTCTGCTTAGAGACCAGTGACAGGTAAGTGTTAAGTAAAATGGCTGTTCCAAATGTGTTTTCAATAAATTTGTTATACCTGAAAATACAGTAAATGGCTTGTAAGCCCAGTTTAAGTGGTGTTAGCATTCAGACGTTAACCTGGCAACAACTCTGAAGCACAGTTTAAGATACACAGGAGTTTAGTTGCAAATGTGGTTGCTACCAGTAAAAATGTGTTATGTGTACATGGATCTCACAAACTCTTGTAACATAAAGTGAGTATTTAACGAAGGAGCAAGTAGAGGAGTTGATGCCCTCTTTCCAAATCACACAAAGTGTTCTGTCCAAGCAAAACATTTTTGAGGAAAGAGGGGACCTTTGACAGGGGGAGATTGTTTTATTTTTAAATAAGCTATTTTTGCACTGCTTACTGGTTTGAACTAAAATGAACTCGGTTCCTATGTTTCTTAACTTCTTCTAATGAACACTGTGATAAAAGCTGCAAGGGGTTTTACACTAACAGTGCCTTCCAGTTTTTAAATTTTGTTTGTTGTGACTGACTGTGGTATGGAGTCATTCCAAAGCTTTTCCCCTTATCTATTTGCATACAACAGAAAAAAGATAAGGCATATTTGCTCGAGTTTACAAGTATTTTCTCAAAAAGCACACTTTTTTCAAAATAACATAAATTTGCTGGAAGAAAAGTGCATTTCAGCCTGATCATATGGCTTACTGTAAGAATTTCAGTCTGGGTTCATTTGTTTTCTCTCCGCCCTGAGCTTTGCGGGAGGAGCGTTGGCTGCCACTGTTTATGCTGAAGGATTTCTTTAACAATCAAAAATCAGTAAAGATTCAAAGAGTGGAGAAATGCAGGTTGCTGTGGAAATAACATGTGAAAAATAATCTCTGTAGCTCTATAGGAAGGACACACTTTGGTTGTTTTCTACAGATACAGAGAACTGTTGGACATGTATCCTGACTGTTGTGGAGTGAGGATGGCCAGGATGTGCCAAGGACTTACGTAGGATGAGGCTTTAAATCCATCTTAGACTGAGAATAGCACAATTATTAATAAACACTTTGAAACCTCTTTCTGCATTTTGCGTATTACTCTTATTCCTTAGAATTATTTTGGAGGTAACCTGCTAAGCGGGTGTACTTCTGGAAGATAAATAAGTGGTAGTGACTCACACAACATAGGATGGATATTTGCCTATAAATATACCGTCGATTTCTCATTGCCTTGAACAGGAGCAATGGCATTTTCCACATTTTTTGACCAAGGTTATTTCAGTCATACATAGAAGCAAGTCTTTTTTTTGTTGGTTTTGTTTGTTTGGTTTTTGTGGGTTTTTTTCCTTTCCATAAAACAACTTGTGCTTTCTGCTTTTTCGTGCCTTCCAAGGAATTTTTGTAATGATAGAGATCAGCGCATACATACAGACGGAAGAACTTCAGATGGGCAGTGTGTCTCATGAGAGGAGAATCGCTTTTAAGTATGACATTTCCTCTTAGACCTGTTGCACGGTGTTTCCATAGCACACACTAGTATTTCATTCTCTGCTTTAAAGCAGGTCTTTCCTCATGTTTGATGGCTAAACAGGCTTGCTACATGAGGACTCCCTCAAAAAGGCAGGTGTGTTTTGGAAAGGAAGCCATGGTTCCTTTCCTACTCTGTGTTGTAGCAAGGTCATCATGTTGAAGCAAAGCTTTCCCCCTCCTTAAGTTAATCTACTTTTGGTTTCATAAACTGCTGCCATTTCAGTCTGGGCAGAGATAGAGGACAATTTGCTATTCCTCACTTCTCCCACAGTCCTTTTTCAAATCCTTATTTGTACAGTTTTCTAATAAACAAACACAAGGATTATCCCAAGGCCTCCTCCTTTGAGTAGTCATGTTCATGGTTCTTCAGTCACAAGCAGAAATTTAATTTCATACCTGTGTGTGTGCTAGCTGTCCATAACATTTCATATTTCAGTCACCTTTTGCTTAATTTTTTTTTCTTTTCAGTTGAGTGTTTTTCATCCATTTTGTTTCTGTCTTTGTTTTGTTCCCCATTCAGGAGCAATTATGTTTGCCTCTGCATATTTTAGAAGAGAAGGGTTTGACACAGGTAGCTGTGACTGTCCAGGCGCTCCTGGAGCTGGCACCCCCAAAGCAGCAGCAACTTCACCACTTGTCTGCTGTGTAAAGACCTCCGGGACGTTTTGGGTTACTTTGGCTAAGCAGAAGGACGTGAAGACTTTACTGCCCATGCAGTGCATCCAAACACACAGAGCTCTGTTCTAAGGAAATGAGTTTCCGTGATTCCTGACAGGAATGTTTTACTTCATTTCTCCATTTTTTTGGAGATCACAACAGTTTCCAATAACATTTTTATTATCAGTATTTTTGCCCCTTATTTAAAAAAAATACAGTTCATTGGGAGGAGGGCAGGGAATTCCAGTGGCTGACTGTTGGAGCCAGCTGTAGAAACTGACCTTGTAGACTGAAGACATGGGTGTAGAGTTTGGAAAGCGATTCCTAGGGGAATTTGTAAAAAAAGGATGTTGCTGCAGTGGGCACATGGGGAATGAAATTTCTTCCCATCCCTGCAGGGTTCAAAGAAAGGGAATTTCTTTGCCTCCAAAGAACAAGAGCTATTTCTATTATATATAAAAAAAAATTGCAACATACAATCTTAACCTGCAGTGTTTCATAACAGGGTCGAACCTCATGCAGCTGTAACTTGTTTTGGCATGTCCTCATTACTTAAAATTTGAAGGAAAAAAAACCTGATTTTTTTTCCCCAAGGGAAAAAATACTGCATGTTTTCTCCGCCAGAAACATCTTAGTAAAAGATACTAAACCGGAACTGTTCAGATTAGCTAATTGACATTAGCATTCTTGCTAGGTTCACTTTCCTACCTCCTCTCACCTCCCCTTCTGGTCATGTCGGGATGTGTTTGGTTACTCAGTAGTTTTGTCAAATGATGACTAGATGTCATCAAGAACCATGTATGTATTTTCACTGCAGTGTGAAGAATTACAGCTTGCCATGCTAATCATTAGAAACCCATTATCAAATAATACGTTTGTCAGGGGCTGAAGCATCCCATGCAGACATGCCAACACTGGTGAATGTCCCAGCCACTGGGAAATTTATCATTTTAAGAATGCAATTACTGAATTTCCACAGGTGGGCTGCATATTGCCAAAGCAGCAATCTGTTGCAAAAGGTGGCTTCTATTTGTGGGTTTAACAAGGCTTTAATAAATAAATGCACTGGTTTTACAGAACTACCATTACTTCCTTCCTCATACCGTAACATAAAAATGGAAATTCAATATACAGGAATGGGAGAGGCAGCCGACAAGTTTAGCATTTTGCTGGGAAGTTGACCTGCAAAACAAAGACTAGCTGTGTGTGCTCTGGTCCTAGTGACGACACCAAGCTCACTACCAGATCAGTTACAATAATTTTTTTTTTTTTCCCCAAAAAGACCTCGCAAAATCCAGTTCTCCACCCATGCGGTTCCTTTGTTAGGTTTTGGCCAATTAAAGCATCCCAAAACGTTATGCTACTAGTAAGTGGTGCACGGGGTCTGAGACCAACTTCAGGAATCGGAGGTATTGCATCTGGGGATATATTTGAAGCAGAATACACCAAGAGGCTTTCACGGGGATAAAGGAAGGAGAAGAAATGGGAACAGGCTAGTTAAAAGTCATTTCTGCTGAAGTAAACCTGCCATGGGAACACTGGCAAGGACTGGTCTTAGCTGGATTTTTCCCCTTTTGATTTGCAGTTTTGTTTCCGCTCTGTTTTGCTTCATGTATTTCTTTCAAGGTCTATTGTGGTGACTGTTGAATCCCTTATTTCACATAATTGCTTCTTATTGGCATTGGCTGATCACATTGCAAGTGGAGGAGAACACCTGAAGGGTATTTAAAACTGCACAGCTGAAAAGAGGAACCTTTTCATACTGGGTAAGCATGTTGCCCTGAGCCCTGCAAGAAATGAAAATGCCAATAACTTGCAATACACATAGGAAGAGAGCAGCTCCCTACAGACGTACTTTCCTCCTTAGGTAGGTCTTGTGTTTCACTTAATTTCGCTTGCAAGGAGTGTTGGTAATTCGTAAAGGATTACATAAAAGTGTCTGAAGCCTCTGCTGTAGTTTGCTGAGATTCTGCCACTCACGGCCGACAGTACAGACCACAAGTGTTTCTTGTATGTTTGTCTCTGCACATAATTTGAAAGAGGGGGGCACTGAGTTCATCTTAGTTTTCAACATTAGCTCACTTGCATTGGTATAGGGGCATGTTAACTTCTTAATAGCACACCCTTTGCGGACTATTTAAATATTCCCGTTTTAAGAAAGCCATTCCCTTCATGGAACTGTGAGGGTATGTTGTTTGCTCCAGACCAGCTTCCAGCACTTAGGGAAAATGAAACTTAACAGTATTCAGGTTGGTGGAAGTTTGACATTGCATTAATACTAGTTTTTAGGAATTAATGGGGTGGGGAGTTGAGCCTGAACTACAAGAAATGCCCATTTCCTGTCGCATCTGGTTAACACAGCTACTCTTCCGTACGAGCAGTGCGTACGCACAGCAGCTGAGTTCATGTAAAGAGCAGTGGTTGCGTGGCTGGGCAGGCGTTGTGTCCCCACTATCACCTACTTTGTTCTAAGCAACAGTTCACCCTGGCAATTTCAATCTATGTGGTCACGTTAGTTTGACGTTTATAATCCTGTGTTTTCATGCTGGCAAACACTAAATCTTGACCAGATGTTTAGGACAAAAATCCGCACCTGAAGTTTCATCATACAGTTTATTTAATGGATTATACCAAAACCAACTTCAGTTCTCTTTTGCAAAATGGGTTGGGATTTTTCGGTGTATTTATGTGCAATTTTTGTTGTATCCCGTGAAAAGAATATTTTAAAGAAAACGTGTATAAAATTCTATTTTGTGTGTTAAAGCAAAGAGGCAATTGTCTTTCCTCTCTGGGGCATTTGAGTTGGAGGATGTGGGAGGAATCCATCTGAGTGTTTTGTGCTTGCTGCTGTTTGTACACTGACTCCATTGTGTCACCATCCTTCCTCAAACCACGTCGAGCACTGAGCAGCGTTTGAGGCTCGGCAAGGTTACACACTCCAGATCAAGCGGCACGGGCACTCAGGAGTCCCTGATGGCATTGCGGTGGTCAGGGCAAAACAGCCAGGATTTGGGTCTTCCCCTTGTGAAGGGGGAGGCTTTCATAAAGGCCCCGACCCCGGTGGCCTGCTTAAAATAAATCAGAGACAACTTTTTACAGCGCCAAGAACACCTCTGTTGTTCTTGGTAGTGACACGGTGGCAAATGGTATTTTTACACTTTTATGACTATAAATGGTTCTTTGAAAAAATGTTTTAGAAACAGAGGTCTTTTAAGGTGAATTTGGACATCTAAAAAATTCTTTTGTATAGATATTGTGTCATTTTACAAAGCGATCTAATTTTGTTATTTCTGAAAACAGTGTAAACGTGTAATTAATAGAGTAAAGGATTTTAAAGCTTCAACCCATGCTGTATGTCTGTAAATACATTCCATAATTTCTAAGTCTGTTACATATAAATGTGTCTGAATATTGTATACTTTATTTTAAATTGCCTGTATTCTGCCAGTAGTGTGAACTTCTAGCACATTGATAATATAAAAGGAAACCATGGGTAATTTGAAATAAAGTTTTAAAACTTACATGAATTACAGTATTCTTCCTGCTGTTTTTCTGTTGCATCAATGAATGTCACATCTTCTGTGTTGGGTGTTTATTCCCCTTCCCCACCCTCACAGTTGGCAGTTAATGGACCTGGGTTTTCTCTAGTTTTCATATTAACCAGGATGGAAAAATTCAGCATTTTTACACACATTCTGCAGCCACATCAGAAGCTTTTTCTTGGGGATGTTTTTAACCTTCCCCAGATACTGAGAAGCAGTGATTTTGTACAGAATCCTTTGCTCCTCCCTCCCCACCCCTCCTTTTTTTTTTTCTTTCTCAAAGTAAAATGTACATTCTAGGTTTGGGGAGTTTGCTGCTGCCAGTACTGGTGCTCCTTGCCGTTCTTATCTTTTACTCGTTTTTATCCTATCTTGCTTTTGAAATGTAAAACTTGCACCCCTGCTTCATGCCCCTGCAGCCTTTGAAAGGTTTGTTCTCAGTAGCCAAAACGTTCGCTCCCCTTTTCTTCCCTTGTCATAGCTAGTTTTTATTATTAAAAAAAAAAAAAAAAGCAAGGCCTAGAAATTGCCAGAGACCCACAAAACTTAACTACTTCCTACATGCTGCATACCCCCGCGGTACTGTTCCCTGCTCACCAAGCTGCTTCAGCATCCTTTTTTGACCTCCTGGTGACTCCATCAGTCACTTGGGACAAATCCGTTCCTGCCTTCAGCAGGGCTGCCCAGCTCTCTCCGGGTGTTCATTTCTGCCCCTCTGTGTAAAGCCTCCTCCTAAACAGCGTCTCAATCTCCAGCCTTTCTTCTCCATTTACCTCCCTGCAAACCAGTTTCTCCAAAGGGCTTGTGATTTCTGGTTCCCCCTGCAGAAAATACCATGGTTGTGCACTTTGATCCCATCTCTCCATAGCTGGAGAAGAACAGCAGTGCCAACCTTGGCAAAGTTCCTCAAAACTGCCGGCTTTTGGGACAGTGCACTCCGCTCCCATCACTGGATGTGCTCAGCCTGTTCACTTGGCAGCTGTACAGCCAAGAAACAGAAATCCACTGCGGTTTCTGACCGGGAGAGGTAAGGCTCATAAGGAGAGCAGCGCCTCTGGGACAGGCTGCGGCAGCGGAGGAGGCCGGGAGGAGCTGGAGGGATGGGTGGCAGGGTGGCCACGGCCCCCAGGCAAGAGCCTGCTGCTCGCGGGGGTTCAGTCAGGTTAAAAACCTTTGCCCCCGTCACACTGTCACCCAGTGGCCAGGACACTCATGTTGGGACTCAAGATTTCAGCACGCCCCCCATCTTACTGGAACAGCAAACCCAATTCTACTGTTGCTTTTTTTCCTACTGTTGCTTTTTTTTTTTTTTAAATAAAAAGTACGCCTTCCCGTATACACACAGACACAGAGCTTCCTGATTTTGGAAGCAGACTTTGCTGTGCCCATGCAATTTATGGTTTTAGGGGGTTTTTTGTTTTTTCTCTTTCAGTACCAGTCACTGAAATGGAAGTTTTGAATTATTTCATGACCCAGTGGAGTGTGTTAACTTCCTACTGGCTTGTTCACTGCGGCTCCGGGCACTTGGTGTACCATAAAAACAAGTGCTGTTACGCTGGCATCAAGAACTGGGGCTTGAAGGGGAGCCCAGCCTTGGCAGAATCCCTGGATGCAGAGGATTTTTCAGAATTATGTTATGTATTGTTCTTTGCTGAAAAGCATGCAAAGCCCAGCTGATGCCGTGCTTCAGATTTCAGTTGTTTGGTTGTATTACTAATGTGTGCCTAGAATCTGGTATAAACAGCGGAGATCTACTGCCCCTCCCTTCTATCCCACTTCTTCCTTAGCTGAAAACCTCTGAAGAGTTTATGATCAAACTTCATTCCTTCCACCCGAACATGTCACCTGTTAACACTCACCGCGTACGGAGAATATAGTCCTAAATGAAATGTAGCAAGTCAGCAGCACATGAAAAAGAAGAGTTAAAATTAGGATCATAACTCCCAGGGTTGCTCTGCAGTGCCTCCTGCAACAGGGAGCCGCGGTGCAGACGTGGGGTGTAAGCACACCGAGTCCTGGCTCAGCTCCTGCCAGCATCGGACTGGAGTGATCCCTGTTCTTACCACCGCGTAGGGACCATGGAAAACGAGTGAGTGTTCTCATGGCTTTGGTACCAGTGCTGGAACGGGAACGCGTTCTGGTTTCAGGTAAGCAGCGGTGCTCCAGCGATAATACCGATACTTCTAACACAAGTTTGTCTAGAGTTTGAAATTTAAGTGCTCCCTTGACAATCGACTCTGCCTAATAGTCAGGCACCAGCCCGTTCTCTCCCGTTCAGAGAGAGTTCTGAGCCAAAGGCTCTCTGCTCGCTATTGCAATCATCTCACGTGAACTTCAGAGCTTTTGGCACAGTTCAGCTTGGACATGAGAATGTCTGGATGGGGCTGGTCACAAAGAGCATAGCAGACTTTGTATGGTTTGAGCTTGCTCTCCTGCGTGGGAGTGTCAGAAACCAGCCAGCTCAACTGCAGGGCTAATTTTGCTTTGTGCACAGACCTGCATGTGATTGGCAGTCATATCAGGAGAGAGGGCTCCCCTCTTCATTAAAAAAGCAGCACGCTGCTCCCCAGCAGCTTCGCTCCCTGCCTACTGCCTCATCCTGCTTGCGCAGAGGCGGTGGCCAGGGTGGTGGATACGGTTGTGACGGATCAGCTCCCGTAGGCAGCACGGCCGGCTGTCTTTTTCCATTGTTCCTTCCCTCGGTTGGAAGGTATTTGGAGCTATTCTGTCTATGTGCTGACATGTTGCAGGACTGTGGGAATGGAAACCTGCGTGTGCTTTGACTGCCCTTGTGTTCACACTGCAAGCTGTCAGCAGTTTTCCCCCTGCCGACCTAACGCCAGCACTGACAGCAGGCAGAGTGCTGCTTGAGCCCAGATGCGGGTGACTTGGCCTCCCTGTCTTACTCAGAGCCACAGCAAACACCAGCGCTTCAGCCACAGCCAGTGCTTTGGGGTCTGCCGAGGAGGTTCTCGATGCAGAGCATCCCATGCAGGTGGGTTACTGGGCTCCTAGTTACTGGGCTGTTAACAGGATTACCTCCCGCTAGCTGTTGTGTTTCTATAAAGCACTTTGGGGGATATAGCGTTTCTCACTGCTTTGATGCAGTTCCCCTTTCTACTGGAGAAACAGTGTCTCTGCTGTACAAGGGCAGCTTCAAGATCTTAAGAGTTACTGCCGCTTCACCTTAGCTGTGTCTGTCATGAACTGTGTTCTCCAGAATAGTCTGAGCTCTGTTACATGGTTTATTTTGTCCTGTCAGACAGACAGACCGCAGTACCCTGCCGAGCAACAGTCCTGGAGCATATCTGTGGCCAGGTTTCTTTACTTATCGTGTCTTTTTCTTTGCTCCAGATTTTTCCTTTTCCCCTTTTTCTTTCTGCTCTGATAGCTGTTTCTCCTGAATCTTCCTGAGGGTCTAGTAGGGGCCAAGGTTTCTGCGAACCATTGTACCTCTCCACCAGGCCTGCAGCTGGAAGCAAGAGAGAGAGAGAGAGGTCTTAGGGGAAATCACTTGCTGAGGTACCTGGTACAGCTCAATGGCCAGAGCGTTTCTCCTGCGCTCCCCAGCTGCAAGAGGGAACCCCTGGCCCATCCAGCAGCAGTTGGGCCTATGCTGGTTACGCTGAAGGCACCCACATCTGGGCCTAGGGCATCTGTTGCTGGTGGCAAGGGGATGAGCAGGGGAACTGCCCCATGACCCTCCCTGTGTCGCCCATGCAGTGGGGCTGGTGTGATGAGCACGGCCCCAAATCATTCGAGGAGACTGGCTTCTCCCCTTTCGCTCCCTTCTCAAACCTGCAGCTAGCTGCTGGCTTTGTGTCTGCCCCAAAAGAAAGGGACAGGCTTTATCTGTCCTTTACTTGTGCCGCCCCACACCAGCCAACTTTCTCAGGCCATTTTCTGCCTGAACAAAGCCTGTGGTGCAAATGATTAACTCCCAACTGCTGATGGAACAGCACTGCCTCAGCTTTGCTCCCCTTTACCTTCAGGATGCTCTTTAGCTCCAGGGCATCCTGCTCTAGTTGTCTTCTTTTAGCCTCCTTTTCCGCCCGGTCACTGATGATGGTTTCCTCAAACGTCTGGCACTGCAAGATAGCACAGGGGTGGCAACAACTGCATGAAAAACACATCCCCTAAACCGCAGGGCCAACCTTCCAGGCTCACTCTGCCCAGCAGCTTGCCAGGGCAGGGCTCACCTGGACCCTGGTGCAAGGAGTCTTCTCCTCTGGCTGCCTACTGGTCTCATCCTTGCTACATGCTTTTCACAGCCCAGCCAGGGCTGCTCTGGCTCGTGGGTCGCGGTGCGGGTCCCCACCCTGTGCACCAAGGAGCTCCCTGGCAGCCCAAGGGTAATGTGTAAGTGTGGATCTTCCTCCCCCACCTCCTTTATTTGATCTTTCCTGAATCCAGATGGCAAATGTTGCTCATTACCACCATCAGTCCTAAGGCACTGAGAGCTGCTGCCAAAGTGAAACCTCTCACGGCCTGCGTGTAATTAACCCTCTGATCCTGTGCTGTAAAATGTCTGTCTGATGGCGTCTCAGGCAACAGATGGTGGTGGGAAGGACCCGTGCTCCCCCAGGCTAGGCAGCAGATGATGTACAAACACACTTGGGACACTGAGATGACAGTGTACAGAGTGAAAAATGAGCCCACAAGCAGGGAAACATCTAACTCAGTCCCATCATCTCAGACCCAGTGACAGTAAGGAATGATTACAAGTTAATTCCTTCTGGCTTTAAAGCACCGTTTTTTCTAGACACTTCTCTCTGCCCTGTGTTGCCTGCTCCACTGTTGCCTGCATAGCTGTGATCAGAGCCCGGCAGTTAACCAAGAAACCAATGTGGAGCAGGAAATCAGTTCCCTTGTAACAGCACTGTGCAGCTGTGAATGTGCATCTGCAGGAAGGGATGGAGCTGCCTTTTCCAGTCTCAGCCTGACATACCCAGATGTTGCTAGAAGGAGCAGATTTGTTCAGACTAAGGCAACAAACTAAGGTGAGGCATATTGATAGGATGGAACAGTGTCTTTGCCCTTCACAAAGGCTGTCAATAGCTCTCTGATTACTTGTTGGTATTTGAAAATAGCTGTAGAGGAAACATCATCCCTCCTTGATGTCACAAGTGGCAAATAGAAGATGACTACTCGGTCCCTGCCTTCCCAGGACCAGTGCTTATAACTGTACCCTACACCTCAAGATTGCTGATTTTTTTTTTTCCATGGTCCTGGTTCCTTATCTGAACAAGAGTAGGAAAAAGCCAGGATGCGGTTTTGCATGGCTGAGCACTGAGATGCTGCTGATATCTTACCTCTTTGGCAAATCTCTGCAGCATTTCCAAGTTGTTTGCCTTTGATGCTTTTAGGGCATCCAGTTCTTCGTCTTTAGCATCTGTGTCATTTTCATACTTGTCCATCCAGTATTCCAGCTTCTCTTCCACCATCTGCATGGGGATAGAGGGGTCCTTAGCATGGTTCAAAGAGTGTACAGGGGAAAGGTTTGCTACTGTTATCTGGCCTGCTTTCAGGATGGTGGTAAGAGTCCCATAAATTCTGCATGGTCAGTATTTCCTTCTTGTCTGAGCCTTGAAAGGATCAAACACCTAGGACTAGTGATAAATAACTGGCGGCTTGCAGGCCCCTCGCTGGGGGTTCACCATGGAACCCGCAGCACTGGACTGGGGATGAAAAGAGACTGGGTTGCGCTTTCAGAGGTGCATGAAGGATGGAGAAGCACTGGGGGGTTAGTTTTGTGGACAATCCTGGTGAAGTAAATGACAACCTGAAGCCATTCTTTGTGTGTATACAGAGGGAGGGGGGTTTAAGAAACAGAATTCGACAGTGAGAAAGCTTTTATCCTCTGCCTGACTCCCTGCCTGCTCTCTGGATTAAACTCAGCACACCAGGAATAAGGTCCCAGGGGACAGCACTTCACGCTGTTTCAGGTTGTGAACTTGGCTTTGTCTCACTCGTGAATAGGAGGGCAGGTGTTGCTGAAACAGTTACCCAGATGACTTCCTCCCATTCACGAATAACTTCTCCATAGCAACAACAATGATTGCTTGCACGGAAAAATAATCTGAGGAAAAGCATCAATCTCATTACGGCGTCACAGCTGGACACACAAGGGAGATGGAGGGCATGGTCATCCTCTTCTCTGTGGGCCT